GCAAATCTGTTTGGCCTCTAGGTATGTTTTTTATGAAATACATGTCTGAGGGCTTGGTTGAGCTGTCAGTGTTATACACCTCATTTCTCAGAAAGATTTCAGAAATACTAAATTTGTAATGTTTCTGGGTTTAGACCAGCATCCATTCTTTGCTGCATAACCTGATTACTTTGGGGAAGAATCCTTCAAGTTTCAGCTGGCTTTTATTGGCTATGACTTGTATTTTCAACCATTAGAAAATATCTGAACAAGCTGTTTATTAGCTTTTTGTCCTTCAACAGGGGTGGTGTAATAGCAGCATTGGCTGCTGCTAGCTTTCTTCCAACAAAGTAACATTTTTGTGGTTCTTAATCAAAAAAACCTTATTCTCTCCAAACTAGAGATGGAACTGAATGATCCTGGGACAAATGCCTGGATCCAAATGGGATTTTTTCCTTTTGAGTATGAGCTCAAGCTATGATTAATCACCTTTTCTTTCAGTGGAATATACTAGCTTCTGTAAGTGAGCTTTTTCACCTCACAGAGGGAAATGAAAAAGCAGGGTATTTTATTATGCCTTGGATCACTGATGAGGAAAGGCTCATTTGTACAATTCACTGAGCAAGTCTTTTGGTCTATTTCTTGTTACAGACAAATTATATGGTTATATGTTAAGTTACAACACAAAACATTCAGATGTTACACAAAATCAATACAACGCTTTCTGAAAAAAAATATACATTTTAATGTCTTTATTTCTCTTGTGACCAAAATAAAAAGATCCATGTACTATAAAACAGAGAGAAGCCATTCAAGGGTTGTTACTTATTGTTCTATTGCTGTTACCGCAGGGAAAATAGTAGTAATTTTAAAAAATCATTTCTGCATGATCTGCTTTTGTGTGAACTGATAAGAAAATATGTTCTTTCTGCACATGCAACACATAAGGAATGTTTACTGCCCATATGGTCTCTTGAGGACTCTGACACTAGAATTTCTATGGTAGCAAGTTGAGAGCAAAAAAAGCAATTATCTGAATGCTGTGAATGCTGTAAAACTGTGATGTTTTCATCCTGCCTGTGCATAAAATGAACATAAGAAGGACAGGAAAAGCATTTAGCAATGTGTCACCTGTATGGGAATCCTGGATATTATACACTGTGGTTGAGCTCTGCTGATTTACATCCTCTGCAGGGTTGCCTCACTGCTTTGTACAAAAATCTGCCATGACACATGACACAGAGCCCAGAAACGTGCACCAAAGGCTACTGCTGAAGGTGCTTCATCACAGCACGATTAAAAGCTGTGATGGACTCACATTGTTCCATTAGAATGAGAAATTAGGTCTTTGATGCTGCAGCAGTTCGTTTCATTCCACATCTGAGTCATCCCAGCATGGCAGACGCAGTGGGAATTCTGCTTAGGGAGCCCTGTGCCAGTGTTCCTGATCCAGCACACAGAGCTGCCTGCACTGGGCTGGCTCCCCAGGATTCCAGCATTAAACACTGCCCCAGTATCAAAATGGATTGCTGGGCCTGTCACTGCCAGTATGACTTCAGCTACTTGTGTTCCCTGGAAAATCACCTTGAATAGAAGATGCCCGTTTGCTTTTGACTGTGCTGTAAAACTCTTCTTTCATCTTTCCTCAGGTTTAATATATTTTTTCAATTGTTTGTGTAGAATAGTAAGAGCTGTGTGAAAGAGCAGTCTCCATGCCAGTGGATCACAGACTGCTTAGCATGGGTTCTGTTCTGTTCAGGTCTTAGCTCACCTGCCTTGTGGGTTTGTGTGCACAGGCACACACACATTTTCCTTTATTTTATTCTCATAATAACAATCTGTCCTCAGTATCTGCACCAGTCAGGGAAATAAAACACTGAGAAGACAAAAGAGGAGCAGAAGGTTTTGTGATCAGAAGAGCATTGAGAAAGCAAAGCCTAATTTCCTTTGAGAAGAGCCATAACCCTGTATTTAATTCCTGACTGTTAAGTTTTTAGGGATGCTGTTCACAGCTGACTTGGGTATGAGCAGTGTGTGCTTTGGCTATTAAACCTCAGAGCATTAAGCTCCCCTTAAGGATGGACTTCTAGACACAGGGTCTAATATTGGTCATTTGATCAAATAACTGCAATTTTTTTTACATTTTTAATTAATGTGCCCACATTCACTCATTCATGCCCACAGTCCCATGAACACTACCAAATTCTAATGTATGCAGGAAGAGAAAAAATCTGGATGTTGCACATTCAAGGAGCTCAGTCTGAGGTACATAAGGAAGTTTTTTTGAGCTGCAGGGTACCTACAACTATCAGTTGCTTTAATGGTCACTAAAGATTTCAGGTTTCATACACCAAAACAAACAACATTTTTAAATATAGTTTTTTTGTGCCTTAATGTTGTGTTGTTTGAAAGCAAATACTACATTTTCACACTTGGTTCTTCAATTTCATCCATCAATAAAAATTCTAATTTTGAGAACTAATTAAAGTCAAAAACTTCAATGTAAAGTCAAAAAATCCAATATCTTAACAAAAAATATAAATTAAAAAAGCCACCAAAAATAAAATAAAAGAAAAAAGGACTTGTTTCCAGTAGCTGATATACAGCACAAAATATTTAATTGATTGATTCAGGCCATCAGGCACAAGAATGAGTATTCAAATTAACCAAATTAAAAATGAGTCATTTTAATAACAAAACCTTCTGAGTACAAAATTCTCAAACTACCATATGATCTTGGAGAATACTGCTTAAATCAAACTTCATCCCCATTCTGTGACTGCTGCACAGATGCATGTTATTGCCCCTGGGTAGGAACAAGGGCAAGCTCAAATTTAGCATGTCAGGTCAAGGGTAACAGCTCCCCTTCTGAGCTTAGTCTCTAGCAATGGCTCAGAAGAGAACTCATAAAAAAAGAAAAAAAGGTGGTTAAAATATAAATAAACAACACCTTGAGAGCTTGCCATGGGGTGGATGAGCATTCACTGCCCTCATTCCATGAATGGGAGAATCCAGGCAGAAGCACAGTGTCTTGGGAATAGTAAGTAAAGTCTCCAGGCAGAGCTGGGAAAGAAAGCCAGAGCTGTGTGCTCTATGCACCACACCACAGATCCCTCAAATGCAGCCCAGGAGCTCCTACCTGTGGCCTGGGAAGACTCAAAACTCAGCTAACAACAAAATAAGCCATCTTTAATTGAGTGATCTCATTAATAAGCCAAGGCAGCTCCAGCCTCTGCTTCAGCAGAGCCTTGCCCGTGAATTGCTGAGCAGCCTGAGGGGCAACCAAACAATTGCCCTGCCTGAAAGAGCAAAACAGTGGTAGCTCTGGCATGGGAGGTGCATTGTAAATGCTCACAGGGAACTTCCAAAAGGTATTTTATGCTGTTTCACAGTGATGAGCAGACCTAGTCTGTAGTTCTTGTTCTACAACTCACTGCTAAATAGGCACAGCATTTAATTTTCCTTTCATTCCTGAAACGTTTCATGGATGCCAAACTAATCAAGGACTCCAATAGCAAATCAAGAGGCTATAGGATAAATCTCATTATCCAGAATATGTTTGGCTACTGCAATCCATTCTTTATATATTAAGCGTTGTTTCAGTGTTAATTAACAGTGTCTAATAATCATTATAAACACTGAAACAGCAGCCAGTGTTAACCACAGGAATAAAAGATTAGCTGGGATGAAGAGGGAGATGTCTTTACATCAGGTTTTTATGCAATATGGAGTTGCACAACTGCATACTCATTTTTTGCATGGCTCTCAAACTTTTTAGGGCCAGTAACTTGATCATGTGCTTTCCAAAGCACTTGCAAACATTGTCTGTGAAAAAAAGTGGTTTTAAGTGACCAAAAATAAAAGAGCAGAGAATTCTCAACTGAGATCATTGGGTATTTTGGTTGCCTGCACATTTGGAGAGTTTTGAGTGACCTTAACAGCAGTTACATAAGCATATGGAGAGAAAATAAACTAGTATTAAATGTGTAACACATATGGTCTCCTGACAGGATGTTCCAAGCCATGCAGTGATTCTATAGTCCACGTGCACTGTACAGTAGTTCTTTGGTCTCAAAGTAGGAGTCAGAAATAGTAAATCAGCATGAACTCCTTTCTTTGTCTTTGAGGGGCAGTCGGTGTGTTAATTTTAAAACACACAATACACTTTGGCTAGCTGTGTTTAACAGCAAAAAAATGCCATCTGCCTAGGACTAGATCTTACTAGCAGATAACATCACATATGATATGACTATATATGATGTGCATGAGGAGTAACTATTTTCCTGAGGTGTGCCATGAGGAAGAACTTTAGGGTAAGGAAAGTGTCCTCAGCAGTTTTGTTTTATTTGGGCAAGGGAGCATCATTCTGTGTGCTTCACAAAGCAAAGTATGTCACCTGGGCTGCCTAGGGTGTAGCGACTACACCAGACTTCTTTCCAGCCTCAAAGCTAAATCTAATCAGTCTCAGCCAGGATGAGATTGACAAAGGATGCAGAAGCACTAGTTGTACTGAAGTTAGGTTTTATTGTTATTAAACATTAAACATCTTGTTATTAAACATGTCCATCAGCCGCATAAACTCCGAGTGCTATTATTCTGTCGTGTCTGTGTCACACAAAACCCTCAGCGGCAGAGCTGAGTCCAGCAGACATCCCTTGAGGAGCCGGCCTAAGGAATCAGTTCCCAGGCCCAGGGTGTCACACTGCGGGGCTGTGTGAGTGACACCCTGTGCCGGCTGTCCAGCCAAGCACCTGCCCGGCAGCGCTCTGGGCGGAATCCAAACAAAACCTCCCGTCCGAAGGCACCGCGGAACCCCGCGGGTGCGGCGAGCGGCGGTGCCGGCCCCGGGGAGGCCTCTCCCCCGGCAGAGCCATGAGGGGCCGGGCCGGGCGGAGCGGGGTGGGGGCAGCGCTCCCCGGGCCGGCCGTGTCCCGGCAGAGCCATGCGGGGCCCGAGGGCGGAGCGGGGCGGGTGCAGCGCTCCCCTGGCCGGCCGTGCCCGGGCCGTGTCCCGGCAGAGCCATGCGGGGCCCGCGGGCGGCCCTGGCGCTGCTGCTGGCGGCGGCGCTCGCCCCGCGGCCGGCACGGCCGCACCCGCAGTGCCTGGACTTCAAGCCGCCGTTCCGGCCGCCGCGGGGCCTCGCCTTCTGCCGCCGCTACGGGGAGTTCGGCTGCTGCGACCCGAGCCGCGACAGCGCCCTGCTGCAGCGCTTCTACAGCCTCAGCGCCAGCTTCGACGAGCGCACCTACGCCGCCTGCGCCGGGCACCTGCAAGAGCTGCTGTGCCAGGTGAGACCTCCGGGAGCCCCTGATGCACTGAGGGATCTACCGTGCAGGGCTCGGACCCGTAGGGCTCGTCAGCCCCTGCACGGAGCTCTGTGTGGGCATGGATGCTTCTATCCCATCGCGGTGCTTTGGCCCAGGTGTGTGTGCATCTACTCCTGCAGGGCTGCATAGAGCCCGGGTATGGATGCTTGGCACAGACAGGGGTGCATTGATCTCATGGGTGCACTGGTGCCATGGGTGCATTGATCCGATGCACTGGTTCAGGCACAGAAACCCTGAACAGTCGATGGGAATGTGAGCCATGACATTAATTCCCAAGCCCAGACTGGAGTACCTACCCACAGGTACATCATCCATGGCATTGGCACCTGGGCACAGGCATGGGTACATCAGCCCACACATCAGTGCATCAGGGATAGCACAGCAGCCCAGGCATGTGCTCCCAGGCACTGGAAAGAGTGACTGTCCATCATCAAGTATTCCAGTGGACTTTTTCTTCTTTGGCAGTTGTCTGAAAGAGGAGCAGGGATGTTGCTCTTCTTTAGTTTAGGAGCAGCAGTCTCTGAGATAGGTAAATGGGCAGTTCCGTTTGCACAGTCTCCTCCCCTCCCAGAGTTAGGATACCAATCTGGTGAAGAAATCCACAGGGCACCTGCCTGCACAAATCTTGCTCCTTGTTATGACCAGCTGATGGGATCAGGAGCTTTTTTTGTATTGGGTTACTTTTAGCAGGTGCCAGATGCTAACAGTCCTGGGGATGGGTGCAGAGCAATGCCTGTGGATGTGGCCCAGGAAACTCTGTGGTGGTCATCCTGCACAGGGCGGAATTTCCACTTAGAGCTGATGTTCTGGGGCCAGATATGATAATGGGATGATCACAGTCTGCACAGAGCAAAGTGTCTCACCCTATCATCAGTGGAGGCTTCGCATGTATGATAATGCCCCTGAGACAGAGCAGCTCAGCACTGTGCAAGTGTAAACCTTAAATTAATTCAGACAGTGGAGTCTTGTCTGCTGTGCTCAGATGGGATCAAAATGACTTTTCAGAAATCCTGCTCATAGTATTTTGCCAGTACCTCCTTAAGGTGTGAAGAGAAAGACAACACTTTTCCACACCAGGATCTATAGAATTGACTTCTATTTCATCTCACATTGTACTGGAAGCAAAAAACATTTGAATATATTTCTGCAAGAAGCAGTGTCTAAGAGTCCATTCGCAGATAGGACACCAGTTAGCAATGTGTGCTAAGCACTCCTGCTTCTGGAAGTGATAACTAGGTCTCCTGTGTTTGTCAGAAAGCCAATCATTGAAAATGTCTCCAGAAGCAGAGAAATATTTCCCTGTGGGAGCAATGATTCACTGAAATGTTCTGATGAGCTCAGTGCATCACCAGCCCAGATGTGGCCACACACCACTGCCTCTGGCTGCACAAGCATGTGTTCATTCACAAGCAATGAACTTCAGTCATTGCAAACACTCTAGAAACATTCTGCTTCTATTCATTCATTATATATACAATTTATATCCTAGACCTGAATTACCTGTGACTTACTCAGCACACTTCTGTCTCTTTCTGCTCACAATTCATGATTTCTCTCAAATGTGATCAAATTATTTTGACAAGTGTCTCAGTTTGTGGATTCTTGCCTTTTCCTGAATTCTTAGAATAATAGAACAGTTTTATTTGGAAAGGACCTAGTCCAACCTCTCCTGCAATGAGCAGGGACAGCTTCAACTAGATCAGGTTGCTCAACTTGTCCTTGAATGTTTCCAGGGATGGGGCTTCTATCACCTCTCTTGGCAACCTGTTACGGTTGCCAAGAGAGGTGATAGAAGCTCCATCCCTGGAAAATACCCTCGTTGTAAACAACCTCTTTCTTAAATCTGATCTGTGTTGACCCTCCTCCAGTTTAAAGCCATTACCTCTTGTCCTGCCACTACACCTCCCTGTAAATCATCCATCTCCAGTTCTCCTGTGGAAGGTGCCATGAGATTACCTTGGAGCCTTCTCTTCTCCACCACACTGCAAGAGCAGATGCCTCACTCTGCTTCTCAGGGAACAGCTTGCTTAAAGGCTTGAGTTTCCACATGGAGGTGGTCAAGCAATGCCAGGGATGTTGTGGAGGTTGAATGCTTTTCTGAGGAGTCCTGTTACTTCCTCCAGGCTGATAGCAGCAGTAAATAAGACATTGTCTGATGTAGGTGTTCCATCAGATTCAGACTGTTGGAATTCCCCAGATAAGGAGCTGCCACTGGATTCCTGGAGCAGACAGGATGCATTTGGTTAGCCTGCCTTAATGTGACTTGTCTTGTTTTCTGATGAGTTATTTTCATAGTACAAACTTGTTCCAGCCCTACTGAAGTAACTGATCATCTGCCCAGTAGTTTCCTCGGTCCTTGGACCACATCATAGTTTAAAATTAATGAACAGACAGCATCATTTGGAAATGACAATTTAGGTCTAATACTGATTCTGGGCTCTGACTACGGGTAGAGCTTCTTGGTATTTTGAGTTATGTGAACATGACAGGATGATGTGAAGGCTGAAGGACCACAACATTTGCTTTCTAAGCAGAGAAATTCAGCAAAAGGCATGAGGCTCCATCTCTTCCAGAAAAAAAATTGGAAAATATTTCACATGTCTTGAAAATACCCTAGGACATGCTTAGGTACTTTCAGGCTAGCGGTAGATCTCTGAATTTCAGTGCCAGTGTAATGCTGCTGTAATTAGCTGTATGCCACCAGGAATGTTGTAAGGAGGGGTGAAGTTGCCCCCAGCTTCTATTCAGACACAGCTGAGGCTGTGGTGAGCAGCTTGCAAGAGCAGAGACAGGGAATCCTTGTCTCTGGGCTATTTTTAATTCTGATGCTGAAGCCAGGGCATTGCTTTGTAATGCATAAGATCCCTGCTTGCTTTGAAAGAGGCCTTCACAGAATGAGGTACACCTGAGTGCTCGAGTGAGGAGCCTCCTCTCTCTGAATGGGAAACCTCCATAGGCAACAACACATTGAGCTCCCACCCAGCCCTCCCATCAAATTCCCCTTCTATCTCATTTCAATTTTTTTCCTAAGGCAATTTTTTCAGTCATTACAAGTGAATTGACAAATGCTCTGTCTCTTTCTGTCCCTGGCACACCTCGTCTAACCAAGCCAAGTGTGTTACCCAATCTGCCTGTGTAATTTCAGTGTTTTGTTTCACAAGCAATCTTCTTTTTACCACATTAATTGCTGCTCATTTGGAAGCTTAATAACCTTCATTTTGCAATGAATGGCTTGACATTCCAGGAGGAAAGCTTATTGTACACTAATGATCTGTTATATGGCCTCTCAGTTTATTATGGTATGTAATGGAAAATCAAATAAAAATTAAATATTGTGTATGCTCATTGGCTAATTTAAACAGTTCAGAATCTCAGATGTTATATCTTTTCAGCTATTGAATAGAGTTGTAATCTGCATTAATAAATGTCTCCCTATAGATCTAGATACAGCTCCCTATTTTTTTTTAATTAAGCTGGTTTTGCTTAGTAAAAGAAGCAGCAATGCCAGATAGGAATTAAAGAATACAGAATTTATTTAAATAGTGGTTTCTCCTCTGACCTTTGTTGCCTCAGGTATTTACTGAAATACAGCTTTGAAAATAATTGAGCCTCCACAGAGTCATGTTGCATTATTTGAAGTGCACTTTTGAGGTGTTTGTTGGGAAGATGCATTATAACTGGAAAATATTGTGTTTATTACAAGCAAAAACTCTTGCAAAACAGAACTGAGTCACTTTGGTCAGTTTGTAATTTATAGACAGTTTTACTGAATTGCAGCTTTTTCATAAGGAAAATGTGTCTGTAGGAGTTCTCATCATGATTACGATGAGCTGTGTGACTTCGATCCAGTCCTTAAGCAGATTTCCATGGCTGCACCTTCCATAAACAAGGGTTGAGCTGCAGTTGCTGCCAGGACCTTGCCTGGATTATGGCTACTTGTGCTCACTGTCTGAAATCCTGTAACCTCAGCATCCCTCACAGAACTTGGTGACCCATGCCATGATCATGAGATGCCTTTCACCACTCCTGGCTGGGGATATAAACTATCTGTAGGCAAAGGTCCACCAGCAAAGGCAGCTGGACCCAGGCAAGGATGGTGTCCTCCCTCCTCCTCCTCCACTTTCACATCCCGCTGTAAATCACATCCATGTTTGAGAGCCGTGCCTGGATTATGAGATGATGAGGTATTCATGTCCCAGGCTTTGGCCCTGATGGCCTTTCCATTCTATCATCAGTGTGCAGGGCCTGAATCTTCTCAGCTAATTCTTTGGTTTCACTTCTGCTCTGTGATTAATCTTATTATAGACAGAGTCAGAGCATCCAAGGAAGAAAAGTCTCTTTTTCCCCAGTGCAGCCTGCTAGGGTGATGTAGGAACATAGGCATCATTGCAGGGTTTTTTGAAGAGTTCTGCGGTTGGAATAAATCAGTAACAGCTTGAGGAAGTCAGCTTTCACCAGGAACACTGAAGATAATTTCCATGAGTGCTGAGACAAACCCCCTCTCTAAGATCTTTCCCTCTGCTAACATATCTTCAGAATAAACCACAACATATCTTGTAATTAAGATGAAATATCTCCAATTAGCATCACCTCTCCAATTAGCATCACTGCTCAGCTGTTTCAAATCTGATCCAATAAATGACTTGAACCTTTTTCTCCCTCCCTCCCTCTAGGAGTGCTCCCCATATGCAGCTCACTTGTACGACGCTGAGGACCCCTCCACGCCCGTGCGGACGATCCCAGGGCTGTGCCAGGACTACTGCACGCAGCTGTGGCACAGCTGCCGCTCCATCTTCCGCGCCCTCTCCGCAGACCCGGAGCTGACCGCGCTGGAGAACAACGCGGCAAAGTTTTGCCGCTACCTGTCCCTGGAGGACACCGACTACTGCTTCCCCCACCTGCTGGCCAACCAGCACCTGAACCAGAACCTGGGGTTGGTGACGGCCGACGCCGAGGGCTGCCTGCAGCTCTGCCTCGTGGAGGTGGCCAACGGGCTGCGCAACCCCGTGGCCATGGTGCACGCCAACGACGGCACCCACCGCTTCTTCATCGCCGAGCAGGTGGGCCTCGTGTGGGCCTACCTGCCCGATGGATCCAGGCTGGAAAAGCCATTCCTGAACATCAGCGAGGCTGTGCTCACCTCGCCCTGGGAAGGTGATGAGAGAGGCTTTCTGTGCATTGTCTTCCATCCTAAATTCAAATTTAACGGTAAAGTGTACGTCTACTACTCAGTTGAAGTTAACTTTGAAGAGAGAATCCGAATCAGTGAGTTCAGAATTTCTCCCACTGACATGAATGCCTTGGACCATGGTTCTGAAAGGTATTGTGAAACACGTGGTTTTTTTTTAAGATCTTAGAGGGCCATGTGCAGTTTTAAAGATCGTTAATGAATGACACTTGCTTAGCTTCATGGTTTTGCATTCCAGAGTGCTAGCATGTTAGTCCAAGTCCATGCCTAGTGTATTGAGGTGCAGAAGCTGTGTGTCCTCCATGGATGAACTGCAAGTGTGCAGGGCTGAAGCATGTACAATTCTCATTTCTGGCATGTCACAGCATTTAGCTAAACATGGATTAAACATTATTTATAGTTAGTGTTTTGGGGTTGTTGTTGGGTGGGGCTTTGAAGTTTGTTTGTTTTGTACTTTTGTGATTGCCCTTTAAAATAGACCTCTGCAAAGAATGAGTGAAATTCATTCCAAAGCCAAAATTTCCAAAATTAGTATAAACAAACTAAATGATACCAGACCAAAGATGGATTTGGTCCCATGTTTCTCTATCTGAACAACAACTCAACCCTTTGATATTACAAATTTAATATCAAATTAAATAAAACACAAGTCACCGTATTATTATGGAGTGCATTTTAATTGGAAATGTCATTTGTTTGAGTCTGGTCTTGCAGTTGTTCCACACTAGTATACACAGATGATGAGAGACTTGTTTGTGGAATCAGGCTCACAGATTTATAACCTGTTGCAGAACTATGTTCTACAACATATGGAACCACTATTGTATATGTTAGTTATGTATAATATGTATATAAGCAACAATATATGTATATAGTTATAGAACCACTGTTTTAAGAGACCTTTGAATATTACTAATTCAAAGATTTTTTGTTCATTATTTGGATTTTATTAGGGGCTTTCCAAACACCCAGCTGTAAATGATTCTAGCTCAAAAATGCACATAGCCTAATGATAGAGAGGGGATACTGGTTTATAAAGCAATTACAGCAATCTAGTGTAACCAGCACTGTAGATGACAGGTAAGGGGAATTACAACGTGGCACTCAGGAAAGCAAATCAGAAACCTGCAGATATCAACTGCCCATGAGCTGTCTTGTTTAAGAATCCTCAGGCTCTATGTTTGTAACAATTTCTGTGCTTACTTAGCTTATGGTTAGTACAGCAAAAGCTTAAGAAAACAAAATTGTGGTCCTATTGTGCTTGTGTAGGCTCAGGTCCCACTGACTTCATCCTGAGCTGCTGCCCAAGAGGGAGCTCAGGCTGACATGTGCTGTGCGCTGCCTTGGCTCAAATGCATGGGTCTGTTTATCCTCAGATGTTTCTCAATGAATTTTGGTTTTTTCCATCTTCGGGATGCTGAGGAAGATTCACCTTTGTGTCCATACAGGATCCTCCCTCATTCCTTCTGTCAGCTGGAACCTGTGCACTTTTGCACAGTTACCTTATCACATAGATGCTGACATTTAACAGGACCATAACTCCATACCTGGGTTCCTTCACACAACTCACAATAACTATCAATATTTCAGAATGGAAAAAAACTGTCTAAAAATGAGATGTTGAAAGTAAGTATTATAATTTGCCTTAGCAGCTATTAAGATGCATTGCCAGCATGAAATCTGGACTCTTTTAGAAGCTGGAAATAATAAACTTCAGTTGTTATACTTGGGAACCTCCACTGCATGTATATGTGGCTTTACCATTCTATAAAATTATAGTTTATGTATTTTCCCCTTTCATGCTATGAAAGGGATTCCAGGAGCATAAAATAAACAAATAAAATAAAGAGTTTGGGGTTAAAATTAAGGTAAATTTTGTTGGTACTTCTTTAAATAGCCTTTGGTAAATTCAGTTTGTTTTGGGTCTGCTTTTAACTGCTCTTTAAACTCAAAAGGTCCTGAGTGTGTAATTATCATTTAAGGATTCTTCTCTCTTTAAGAATTTAACTATTCCTTAATGTTTGAGAAGTTTTATGTTCACCTTGAAAGTGCATGGCAGAACTTTGCCAAAAGCTGTACAGATGGACTGGAGTCCTTTCTCTTACAATTTCCAGTTAGTTATAAGCTCAGATGCCTTTTCTTTAATAAACTAAAAAGAAAAATAAAAAAGAAGATTAACAGGGAGGAAGAAAGAATCAGAGGAAAGGTTTAAGCAATTAAAAGTATATTTTGTCATGTGATTTCCCAGACTTTCCATATTACACAATTTGGTGTTTCTGTAATCTGGAAAATATGTTAAAACTATTTAAGGTTAGAAAATCAGCTATGCCCCAGAAAAAATCAGTAACATGGATATGGAGGAATTTGTACCAAAACCAATGTGTAGCTGCTTCCATCTGTCAAGAACTACATTATCATGATGTTACTCTGCCCTTTGCATAGTGCTTGTGCAGTAGGAAATTGCTTTCTCCCTGTTTTCACTTAGGATAATCCTTGAAATAGAAGAACCTGCTTCCAACCATAACGGAGGAGAACTGCTCTTTGGAGATGATGAGTATCTCTACATCTTCACTGGAGATGGAGGCATGGCAGGGGATCCTTTTGGCACCTTTGGAAATGCCCAGAACAAGTAAGAGTGTGTTGGAATAATACCAGTATAGCCAGATGGGACGTGCGTGAGCTTGTCTGGCTGAACAGAGCTTGGTGCTGAACCCAATAGTGGCAACTGTGGTGTTTCACTCCAGAGACACTTTTGGCTGGCTGGGTGCTGCAGGTGGGCACATGGAGACAAGTCCAGGCATGCAGGAGCTCTGGTGGCTGTGGAATGGAGCTTCCCCCCATAACAAGGTCTGCTCCTCAGGTTTACCTCTGGCAGAGAAGCTTTAAGGTGATGGTGAAGGAAGGGAGTTGGTTCTGATGGAGGGTTTGGATCCAGATCTTTATTCCTGGCCCACAGGCCTCTGAATCCAGCAACAGCTCCAGCAGAATTCCCTGAATCTTGTGGTTGCCGGCTCTTTTAACCCCAGGGAGAAGGGGAGGAAAGGGGTAGGAAGGCACCAACCAGGTACAGGGAAGGAGGTCTTAAGGGACAAATGACACCTGGGTAGCCCAATGCCCCCCCGAGGGGTAGAGGGCATCCTTTGAGTCTGTCAATCACTCAATGCCCTTCTGGAATTCCAGGACTGACAGATAGTGCTGGGAGGGGAAAGGAGAGGTGACTGACACACCTGGGATGGAATTATCAGGGGAGGGACCCGAGGCTCTGAGGTAAACCCTGAAATCACAACGCAACAGAGTGGATCCATCCCTATGGCAGCTCCAGGGTGTGGGAAATCAATACTGTGAAACCCTAGACTTTCCAACCCGACTCCCGCCGCCCCAGTTCTGACTTTTTGCCAAGATCTAACCTTATTTCTTTACCTTTTTCATTGCTTCTCCCAATGCAGATCAGCCCTGCTGGGCAAAGTGCTGCGGATCGATGTGAACAACAATGACCGCGGGCCCCTGTACCGAATTCCCCCCGACAACCCCTTCGTCAGCGACCCCGCGGCGCGCCCCGAGGTCTTTGCCTATGGAGTGAGGAACATGTGGCGCTGCTCCTTCGACAGGGGGGACCCTCACACCAAGGAAGGGAAGGGCAGGCTCTTCTGTGGAGATGTGGGGCAGAATAAATACGAAGAAGTCGACATCGTGGAGAAGGGGAAAAATTACGGCTGGAGGGCGAGGGAAGGGTTCAGTTGTTATGATAAGAAACTTTGCACCAATTCTTCCTTGGGTAAGTAGATGTGCTCTTGTTTTTGTGGTGTTCACATTCTCTGAACCGGGAGAGGCATAATTCTCTCTCCCAGGGTTTTTCGTGGGGAAGGCAGTGAGAAGCACATAGCGAGAAGAGAAAACAATTCTTATCTCTGCTTGCTGCTCCTGTTGTTTGGCATGTGTAGAATGTGTTACGGAGATTGTTTACCAAGAGGGATTTGTTAATTGGACACCAGTGATGGTTGTTTTTGATTGGCCAATTGAGTCAAAGCTGTGTCGTGACTGTCTGGGGACAGTCATGAGTTTTTCTTTAGTATCTCTTTAGTATAGTTATAGTATTAGCGTAATACAATATAGCTTAATAAAGCATTTGTTCAGCATTCTGAAATCATATAGTCAGAGCACATTATTTCCTACATTGGGGTCACTCTGAATCGATACATTTTTTAATTCCTGCCTTCAAAGCCTGGCTGCTTGGTGGCAAACACACCTTTTTGAGATGTCAACCTCTGCTGTCCCTCTAGAAGGGAACTGGCTTGGGCATAAATACTGAAAGTACAAATATTACTGTTTCTGAGTTAGGAAGAAAGTGAAACATGCTAGCTGTTGTTTTTCTAGGTGATTTGTGTTGTTAGTGATTCTGTGGTTTAGAGGATAATTTAATCTTTGCCACATAAAATAAGCTTTTGTGCAGAAGCAAGAAAAAATTGGAGGAATTGTATTTTTCTCCATAACTCAACCTTATTTAAAAAAAACAGAGAAAAACATTGACTGATCAACTCTTATGCACACTGCCTGCTCTGCAGGTAACTGAATGTATGGTGTATTTTCATTTCTTTTAGCTATGCCACAAAGGAAAACTTCATTTTATTTTCATCTCTTTAAACTGTTCAAAATTGGATTGAGGATGTTTGCTGGCTGGCTAAATTCCAGTGAATATGTGAAGTCAGAACATATTGAATTGCAAGGGCTGATGTGGACCATGTCCTGTGCTGGAACCTCTCCTCAGAGATTCAGGGGGCAGTGGAGTGGGCTGGCCCTGATTTGCATTAGCTGAGATTCTGATTCTTTTCTCTTCCATGTGTTGTGTGTTGTTGTCTAATTTTCTTCCTAACATTAACTCAGTTTAAATTCCTTCCTTTTATTAACTTTGCTATAAGTACAAGTGATTAACTGTTTTTTTATAAAAATGTCAAGAGCAGGGAGCAGATTTTTTGCACTCCCTTTGCTGAAGCAGTTGTCAGAGAGCTCATTTATTGCTCTCCTGTGTGACAGTACCCACATGAGCATTCATGGCAGACACTTTACTGAGGTCCCCAGGGATTCAGAGCAATTTTTGATGACTTTAGAGACCCTTTGTTAGAACAGTGAAATGTCACAGCCCCTTTAGAATGATAAGTACAGCTGAAGTGTGGAAAACACCTGCTTTAGAGGAAATTCCACTGGTGCAAATTTCTTGCTGGCAGAGCTGCTGGGTTTGCTACTTGCAGCATGTGCTATGTGGGCAGGGAGAAAGGCTGTGAGGATGAGGAGGAAAGGGTACCAAGAGGTGAGCCAGGAGTTTCAAGAGAAAGGGGAGGGAGGATCTAATGGAGACCCTCCAAATCAGGACATCTCTCTCTATTTTACATTTGTCTTATGTTTTAACTTACATTTCCCAATGAATATGCCAGTACTACATCATTCATGCCTCTGCCATCCCATAAATATTTGATGGCCCTTTCAAGTTGCTTCTCCATCTCAGAGGAACAGAAGCTATTTGTGCTGACATCTGACATATCTTTTCATCAGTGCCTGCAGTCTGGAGTCACCCATCTCTTTTTTTTCTTTCACCACCTAGACAAAGCTGCATTGGGCAAACATTTCCTGCATGGGTGCAGTAGCTCTAGGAGTGACCTGTGAATTTGCAGCTAAACCAGACAAGCTCTGTAGAAATGTGCCTGAAGTGGCACTAACAGATGTGGATTCTAGTGGGAGGAGAAGAGCTCAGGAGAATGCTGAGGTGTCTTGGTGAGGGGCAGGGCAATCAAATCTGATTCTGAAAAGGTGAAAATCAAACTAAATACAACTCCATTGGCAATTCATTTAAATAGAAGATGCACCAGGGAACCTGATTGGACTCTGCCACTCTCAGAGCAATCCAGATAAAGAGCTATTCTTCAACATGTGCAAAACAAGTCACAGATCTTTTCTGCCTTACAGATGATGTGCTTCCAATTTATGCATATCCACACAAAATGGGGAAATCTGTTACAGGAGGCTACGTCTACCGAGGCTGTGAGTCTCCAAACCTGAATGGCCTGTACATATTTGGTGATTTTATGAGTGGGTAAGTAAACACTTAGGGCACTCACAGAGTTGTACCCCCAGCTAAAATTCCCCCCAAAATGGCCTGATAGCCCTTCAACCCTCCCCTGTTGTTTTTTCATGGGCTTGTGTTGCGCTTGAAGACAAGGAGTTGCAGGGTATATCATATATTTGGGTTAATATTAAACAATCTTTCACTCAGTTCCTGTTGCAGCTTGTGTGGGCAGGAAGCATTAAATATCCATTCATGTGTCCATTCATACATCATCTAGGTCAGGTTGTGGAAGTGTTCTTTTGCCTTGCAGACGCCTGATGTCTTTGAAGGAGGATCGTGCCACTGGAGAGTGGCAGTACAGTGAAATCTGCATGGGGACAGGACAAACGTGCATGTTCCCTGGGCTTATCAATAACTACTACCAATACATCATCTCCTTTGCTGAAGATGAAGCAGGTAATCTTTTAACTTTGTGTCACACTGAATGGCATGTTTCAGAATAGAACACCAGAGAAGGGATCAGAGAGGGCAGCAGGCCGTGGAGAGGCACAGCACTAGTCTTTAAAATATCAGATTCTCAGCATCTCTCAAATACCAAACCGAAGTTACAGTGCTAATTTTGAGGTCTGAGTGCCATGCAGTGCCTGCAGTGGGAGATGGAGTCAGTTGCCTTGGGACTGAGTCTGGTGTGCTGGATGTGCTGCTGCCCTTCCCTCTGGAGAACAGGGAGCAGAGGGGGCAAGTAGAATAAAACAAACCTAGTAAAGAAACCTCATCCTTCACAGTGCCATGCCAAGGGAAATGCAGACCTGGGAGCCTGAGAAGCTCAGACCCAAGGGAGAGCAGGTCTATCCTCTTGTCTAGTTGAGAAGGCTGTGGGCATTATTAATGGATACCGGGAAGCAGATGTCAAGAACAGAAATTATATATCTGCTCACCCTGGGCTGGGGTATTTGTACCTCTCAAGATGAAGCAGAACAAAAGCCTGTGTTATGTCTTGCATGAGGCATCAGCAAAAGAGTCTTTAAGACCATATTTTATTAGTGCCAGCTGGGATTTTGCCTTGCATAGGACTGAAGGATCTCATGTGTTTTCATGACTGCAGACATTTTGCTTTCTGGAAGGGAGCTGCTGCTGTGATTTGAAGAGGAAGAAATAAAGAGTCCTGGGGTGCAAGCTGGTGGTTTCTCCCACTGTTTATACAAGGGTGTTGCAGAATGTGCAGCCCATGCAGCCCCTGGCTGGGGGCAGGCAGAGGATGAGCCCCACAATGTGTGCTTCATGTGTGACCCAGCAGTGCAGGAGTTGTGCTCTGCCCTGCTCCAGGGAGGTCTTGGCTCATGATCACAAGCACCTGCTTCCAGAATGCCCCAGCTTTTAAACATCTGTTTTTTCCTGCAGATTATGTCAAGTTTGGATGTTGCTCAAATCATATAAATGCAAATTTTATCTTGTGAATGCAAATCCTCCAAGTTAAGTATTAGCTTGAAAGTTTGACTATTTTTTTAGAGTTAAATTCAATTTTCTTTAATGGTTAATATTCATGGAATTTACAGCTATTTCACAGTGCTGTGGTGAGAAGGATATCTTAACCTAAAATCAAATAATTTAGTTCAAATCAGCTCTGTGCCAAGTGCAATATCAAGCTGTTGATTGCAGCCCTTGCTCATGCACATGAGGATGATCTCCCTCATCCTGTGCTTGTCAACAGAGTCTGGACAAAGCAGGGGTGAAATGCTGCCACCTTTTTGCCCTACACTGTGCCTTGCATAAGTATGATAGAGCTGAGTGGAGATTTGGGCTGGAGTCTTTTTTCAGAGGCAGTTAATTGCCTTGTGTCTGCTTTATAGTAATGGAAAGAAATCTGTTGATAACAATGTGGTGAGGTTGCTTCATCTGCTGTGAACAGCCTTTTCTTCACCTTTTTTGTGTACTAGGAATCTCATGCTTTACAAGTTTGCCGCACAGTTTATTTGAACAGGGTTTTCTTCACAGAAGCATTGAAGTTTTGGAGTTGTTGCTCTGATGGGTGTTAATGTCCCTGCTCCAGTGGGTGTGTAAATGTCGTGGGGAGATCTCTGTTTTTGGCTCATTGCACAGCAATTATAAAGGAATCAGCCCCATCCCTGGCCAGCAGAACCTGTCAGAGACACCCCAGCACTGTGTCTGTGGGTCACATGTGTGCAGCCTGTGTGCTTCACGGCCTGAGCACCCAAACTCCTGCTGGTAACTTCCAGGGAAGGGGCAGGATGTAAAACACACATCACCACAAAACCCAGTGCCAGCTGTTTCCTGTCCCCTTGGACCAAGGCTGCCTCTGGCCTGTCATTAATGAAGCTGACCAGAAAAATGAAGCCACCAGACAGGGGTAGGCAAAGGTTTCTGCCCTGGGATTATCCAGAGGAGCTCAGCTCAGGGCAGCACAGGAGAGCAGGAAGGAGGATGGAGACTCACCTCAGCTGCCACCAATTGCCTATACATTCCTTTGGTCACACTGACCTCTCTGTTCCTTCCCCTCTTCCCCTTGGATTACCAATAGAACACCCAAAAAAATCTGCCTTACTCAGTAAGCATCTTGCTTCTTTTTCTATCTTCTCTCTCTCTTTTTTATTTTAATATTGCAAATATATTTTTTCTCTCTGATCCTTTTTGTTGCACTTCTCAAGCACTTGAGCTCTCAAAATAGTGCCAGAAGGACTGTTTATCCCAGTCTCCCCTGCACAACAGGAGAAGGGAGGATAGAAATGCAGTTAAGAGAAAATAAGTCAAATAAAGGGTGATGGACATTGTTTGGTTGAAGGTTGAGCCCTGCACATGTGACCTGACAGAGCTGTGATGAATCAAATGCCTTTTGTCTGGGGTATGTCTCACTCTGTGAATGTGCTAGAGAAAGCAAAAGCAAAATCTTGTTCTCCTGTAATTCACCCCAAAGGACTGCTTCATCCAAATGAGCAGAAGACAGTGAACTTTCTTAATTTCCTTTCATTTCAACAAAAGTAATTCAGGGTTTGGCTGTTTTACTTTAGAGAAGTCAAAGGACACAGATCATAATGAGATGACAAGGAAGGTCTGGGCAGGTGAACCTGCAGTGGACACTTGTCCAAGTAGTAATTCATGACAATTTGTAAAAGCTGCCACTCACTAAGAGTATTTTATGCCAATGGACTGCAGATGGCTCTCAGACCCATGATGCAGAGTTAATGCCTTTGTGCTGCAAAGGACAGAAACTCCATGGACAGTTTTCATGGGTGTGTTTGGTTTGTTTTTTTTTTTTTTTACCAGGGGAATTGTACTTCCTATCTACTGGTGTACCAAGTGCCACAGCTCCCAATGGAGTGGTGTACAAAGTGGTGGACACCTCCAGGTATGAGATGTTCTTGTTGCAAGGCCTGGTGATGGTGCAGTGAGTCCTGGTGTGGATGGTGTGGATGTGATGGTGTGGATGTGATGAATCATGTTGGCTGACTCATTAACTCTCCTCCCATGCTGGGTCCTTCTGGGGAATTCAATCAAGGAACATCTGGAGCAACCCACTGTGGGTCTGCTTTGCCACTGCATTCGTGGGGGTGTACATGCCTGGTGCCAAACTTTTGTGGGGCTTGTTGGTGTTATGTGGGTTTGGAGATTTCCTGAATGCTAAAGAAGTATTTTATGGGTGGCTTGTCTTTCTTTGGCAAAGTTTCTCTAGGTTTCTGCCCAAAAGGAGGCACTTTTTCTCAAGGTGTTTTTTTATGAGTTCCTCTCCATCCCCTTTTTCATCTCCCACAAGAGCCCTGTTTCCCCAGACCATGGCAGCCAAAGCTGGATCAGCATGACCTGCAGTGCCTTTTTGGGCAAACCAGACAGGAAAATCAAAGAGTACATTCCTCTCAGTGTTTCAAAGAGCAATATGGATTGAACAAGAAAAAAGGACCATCATTACACCTCCTGGTTTCCATGTGCCTGAATCTGAGACTGGGCAAGGCAGGGAATAGCTGTGTTTTATGGGAAGACTTACAGCTGTTTTTTCCATCTTCCTGTTTTTGAAGTGTTACTATTATTGGCTGAACACCAAGCTACTTTCAGCCAGAAATGGAGAGTGAGATTCTTTAATAGATTTTTTTTTAATGGATTGAATTTACAGCTTTAGTTATCTGAGGATTTTGAACCAAGCCACTTGTCTAGTTTTACATTGAAACCAATCCCCAAACTTAAAAAGCCCCCAGATCTGTCATGTGTTTCCTCCAACTCTCCTCTGTCAGGAGCATTTTCCATTATCTAATGCAACAGAAGAGTTCCTGTAAACTGTGTATGAAGAAGCTGGTATTACGCAACCTGTGCAGAAATAGAGAAAGCAGGAGTCAAACACCAGCCGTGAGTTTAAGCTTAAAAAAACTTCATTCATGTTCAGAGTACCAAAAAAAGTAATTGGAAAGTTCATAAAAGTAGGGAACATCCTTGTATAGGCAGTTAAGAGAGAGGCTCTCTGCCTTCCACAGAAATGCAAATGCAAACAATCCTAATTGCCCAGGAGTTTTATCCTCCAAATGCATTTTTGAACCAGTTTAAAAACCTCTGAAGAAGTCTGAGGATTACCAAGACCTCTGTCATAGGAAAAAGTGGTGATAAGCTGGATGTGACTTCCCAGAAGTGAAATACATCTCTGTGGCAAACAAATTGTGTCAAAATAAAGCACCATACTAAGACAAAGCCTCTGAGGAGACACTTAGAGTTCTTTTCTGAAACTAATGCATTTTTGGCACGACATTTGTTTGGGCTTTCTGTATGAATAATAGTGTGTTATTTTGCTTCTGTGAAAACAGTCTGAAATCGTGGGTACACATGACCTTTGTGTCAGATGTTCAACATATACTGTCTAGTTTTGTAATTTTTATTTTCATTTTGATTAATCTTTCTATCGTGCTTGAACCTGCCAATGTTTTATTTCCTTAATGGCTTCAATAGTGTCAACTGAAAACACAGAGGACTCCACTGCCTTGTGAATATTTGGACTTTCATCAATGGTGATCTGTGATTCCTTAGTTATGTTTTCTAATGTAAGAGATTAGTTGCACCATTTAAACAGAATTTTTTTTTCCCCAATAAGAATTAGGTTCTTAAAAAAACAATGGGAAGCAAAGTGTTGCAATGCCAGAGGAAAGGAATTAATTGTGCAGTGTATGTGTCCCTTTCTTTCAAGGACAGCACCACCAGGAAAGTGCCAAGTTGATCCGTCGCCAGTGAAAGTCAAAAGCAAGCGCATCCCGTTTGTGCCAAAGGAGAGTGAGTGCAACTCTTGCTGTTCATTATTGGTTCATGTTAGCCGGCATTAGATACAAACTCCAGATTTGCACTATCTGTCCACATTTGTGGAAAATACCCAGAACTTCACTCTTCAGGATATCCTCAAAATTAAATCTTACCAGATGTTTTGGATCTGAAGAGTTGGTTCAAATAAGTCATACAGTATTTCCCCTTTCCTGGCCATGTGAAATTTCCTTTGTAGTTTCTGACCCTGTTCATTTTCCCTTTTTCATGCTACATTGTACACATTTCATTACCACCGGCTTGCTTTCCCTGTAACTGTGCCTGTCCAGAGACCCTGTGCTCAATGGTGCTTTTCAGTGACAAGTGATTTTTTGCAGTATCTTCAGGTAGTGGAGAGGATATGATGGGTAAAGGGCTGGGAAGTAGCTCACTGAGCAAGATGAGAGCTGAGTCATTGTTAGTTGAAAGTGAGAAAATATGGAATGAGAAAATGCTCCCAAAAGAATCAGTGATCACACACTGAGGTGAACTTTTGGCTTACCCAAACCCTCCAGGGCCTTTTGGTTGCTTCATGCTGCATGAAGTATTGTACTGCTAAAGCTGGAATAGTCAGTGGAGCTGAATCTGCAGCAAGCCAAGTACTCTTTATGTGTGGTACAAAAACCTAAACAAAATATTAGGATCTTATGTGAGGTATAAAAACCTAAACACAATATTGGGGTCTTATGTGAGGTACAAAAACCTAAACACAATGTTAGGATCTCTAGGCAGTATCACTGTTCTTTTCCCCTGTGCTTTTAATTTACACATGTAGGTACCTAGGCAGCACCCCAACAAATTCCCTTCCAACTCAGCATAGTCCATGAACTTTCATAGTCCATGAACAAAGCTAATGGTACTGCAGGAACTCCAAAGTCAGGATACTTTTATTTAATTTTTAATTACATTAATCACGTTACATTGCATTTGAGTCACTAACAGTTCCTACAGCTTTGGCTTCAGGGAATAATGAGGGCACTCAGCACCTTGCAACACTGAGTCTTTAAGGTGGAACAAATTCTAAGGCTAATTATTGACTGCTGACATGTCTGAGCACTCAGTATCTTCAGAGATGTTCTCCTTTTCTAGCTGTGCAGGCAGTTTCCAAATATTAGTAGCTTGGTTCATGTTCAACCATTTTTGTCTGTTTCTGCTTATGCATTATTATCTACACAAGTCCAAAGTTCAGGTTTTTAAGCTATATATATAACTAAGTCTTTTGGGCTTGTTTACAAGGTAGTTTTTGTCATAAATTAAAACTTAGAAATGGTGGGAGAGATTATACCTAGTGTGTCAAGAGCTACCCTCTCTTTTTGGTGAAAAATAAGCATGGCCATTTTGATTCAGAAGCATGCAAACAAGGATGTGTAGCTGTAAATATTTATTGTTTTGGTTAGTATTTAGTCAGTTATTTAGTCTTTTATTTTGGTTAGTATTTAGAATGTAACAGAATCACCAGGGCATCTGCCTTGTATTAGCTATGAGTGCATTTTTTGGAAGTGTATTTAATAAATAGTTTATTAGAGAGTATTATATAATGAGAATTTGATCCAGTGAGGTGAAAAGCTCTCCCAGGTGACCATTAGCTTTCATGCAGCCCTACACAGTGTTCAATCAGTCCCAGGGTTTTCAAGTTCTTTGCCAGACCAGGCTCCAGCAAATGAGCTGGGCACAGGTAAGGCCTTCAAATCTGTTTCTTGCCTTGAGAAACACAGCTTTCAAGGGAAGGAAATATTTTCATGCCATGAACACAATTCCTTTTCAAAGAGCATTATTTGGAAAAACATGGACCACTGTGAGGGTTTGTCTTTTGAGGACAATGGATACTAAGCACAAATAAGAGAGTGATATTTTCCTCCTCTCTGTACTACAAACGAAATGATGAATGAGGATGCATAAATCTGGGATATAATTCAAAGTCATGATGTCTTTGCAAATGTCTGTGACACTGTCCCAGCTCTGTTGAATGTTATTCCATGAAATTCTGAATTGCTTCCTTCTGGCAAACTAAAACTTATTTTTAAGCTAAAAATAAAACACATGTGAATAAGTAAATCCAGTAACACCTGGAAACTGTGACAGCAAAGAATTTTCATCTCTTCAGAGTTCAAGGCTCTTTTTTATTTTTTTTTCCTTTTTTTTATAAGGAAGAACAAACCCAACCCCAAATCCTGTTTTATGTGTTGTCCTGGCAACTCTGTTCCTCTTGCACATTCCAGTTGCCAGAGAGAATTGATTTTGAATGTTCCTGATTTCAGCTCCTCTGAATAAAGCACCTGGCCCAGTGGGGAGGCCACGCTCTCCTCTGGTAACAATCCAGCCCTCAGTAATGAAGAGAAGAGCAGAAATAGAGCCTGTCTGTAAAATGCTTTCTGCAGCTCTTCACCGGGATATGGTGTAGAGCTCCTCTCCTGACTGTGGAGCTCCAGCACCGACCCTTTAAGGGCCAGGCTGACATTTGCCAAGAAAGCTCTTGGAGCTTCCTTTTTGGGAGAGGCTCAGTGTTGGCATTGAGCCCTGCAGTCCTCTCTGCTAGCTAACAGCAGCCGACATTTCCACTGAGGAAATACCGGGTCGCTAAGGGTGTCGTTGCTTCCCAACAGGACCAAGTAGACAAATTCCGAGAAATTAGTTGTACAAGTCAAAAATCAGCACTGGTTTCGTGAAAAAGGGGGGTCTGTCTCCCCCCAAGCCCCCAGCCCTCAGATGGGGCTTAACCCCAAGCAAGGCAGGCCTATCTGGATAACTCAGTCCCTTTTGGAGATAGAGTGCCCGAATAACCAGCCAGCTTGTAGCTGCTGGCTACCCTAAGCAAGCTTAGTGGATTTCAGCTCTTTAGTGATTCTCAGCTCTCTTAGGATTTCAGCTTGAGCTTGCTTGCTTAGGGCGCCTTTGGGCTAGGGGTAGAAGCAGATGGCAAGAGAGGAGAAGAATAAACCATTGCTGGCGTTCCACAGCGATGGTTTATTGAGGGGTCTGTGAAGGGTTCCAGCGACATGCCGAACGGGCTCAAACAGCCCCTTTTTATAGGGTATAGGGGGATCCAAACTTGTCCAACAGTAAGGGTTAGGGGAAAAGTGGCCTATGGGGTTACAGGGATATGGGTCGAGACAGAAGACGGGAGCTTATTTTGCTGTCTCATCATAACTCAGCAGTTCTTACTGTTAAGTCTCAGCACGCCACAAGAGCCATAGCAAACTCAGAGCCTGCTACAGTTTTGTATAGTTGTCTTCAAGCATTGCCCAGAGACTGACAGACCCACGGCTCTCTGCCTTTTCCCCCAACAGAGTTTATTATGAAAACACCACCACCACGTCCCCGCCTGCAGCCCACGACCGAGGCTCCGTGGGGAGGCGTCCCCGGGCCGGGCAGAGCCCCCCGGCCGGGGAAGGGCCCGGAGGAGGAGAAGGGGCAGCGCAGGCAGAAGAAGAAGAAGCAGAAGCAGGGCCCCGGCAATGGCGCGGTGCGGCTGATGCGGCAGGGCCGGCGCGGGCGCGGCCGGGGCCGGCTCGAGGTGTTCATCGACGGCGAGTGGGGCACGGTGTGCGACGATGGCTGGGGCCTGCCCGCCGCCGCCGTGGTGTGCCGCCAGCTCGGCTTCCCCCGCGCCGTGCGAGCCGCCAAGAAGGCGGAGTTCGGGGAAGGCAGCTCGCTCCGCATCCTCCTGGATGATGTGCAGTGCTCCGGGCAGGAGAGGACGCTGCTGGAGTGCTCCCACGCCGGGGTGGGCACGCACAACTGCAAGCACGAGGAGGATGCTGGCGTGGTGTGCAGCCGGGAGGAGGTGACAGACCGGTGACAACAGCCAGCTGGGGGACTTGGAGACGTCACTCTCTTGCCCAACTCTCTAAACCAGCTGCAGTATTGAGGAGGGTGTGCCCTGCCATGGGGATGCTGCATCTGTTCAAATAATCTTATGTTTTCTTAATGTTCGTCCCCAAGCATTTGCCTCAGAGGGAAAAAAAAAGAAGCACTGAATTCAGTATATGGGCAGGGGCTGCATTTCTATGGGGTTTTTTGTAGGAAGAAACCCCCAAGCATCAGCCTTTGTAGATCAGAAAAGAGATACATCCGGTTGCCCTTTCCCATTTCAAAATACAGCATTCTTCTTTCTCATTTCAAAATACAGCATTCTTCAGCTGTGCATCACAATGTTTTGCCAAAAAATAAGTTCCCAAATGACTGTGTTTCACTCTTATGGAAGCATTTGCTTTGTTTGCCTTGCTTTGCCACCTGCAGCTCTAAGCTGGGGTTTCTAAGGATGTACCTTTCTAAATCTGTGCCTTTCTAAATCTGTGCTTTTCTTTGCAAATTATAAAAATATATCTATTTTTTAACCTTCCACTCAGTAGTTTAAAGGAAAATTATTTTTTCTGTAATGCTTTTTATTGGTATAAACCTATTGGTCATCAAGGATAAGCAAAATCAGGTGATTTAGAAGAAACCATAGTGTACTGCATGGAAAATATTTCTGCAGTTTATATTAGCCTAAATGAAAAGAAAATCTAACCCCTTTTACATGAACAGGATTGAAAATCTGTCCTTTTTTAGATGGACAGAATCATTATCCAGTTTAGCTCCGAAGATACTTTCGTACATGTTTTTCCACTTTCCCAAACTTCATAACATGTACATGTTTTTCCATTCAGTTTTTCACAGGTGTGAATGACTAGACAAGAGGTAATGCACTGGGGCAATAATCCAGTAATATTTACCCCTTTTTAGAGGATATTAAAAAAGAAGCAAACAAAAGCAGCCCTATTTTGTCTGAAATGTGTTTTTCACCTGAGTGGCAGTGGGAGACACATGTCTTATTAAAGCATTTGGCCTGGTTATTTGTTTTCCCTGGTGTAATCAGGATAGGTTTTGTCTTGCTGCTCACACAAGAACATGAGAAAGGCAAAAAAATCCCCCAAAAAAGTGTTCAAAAAAGTTCACAAGCAAAACCTTGTATCTAAAGACCTTACTGTGGATATTTAATTTAACCCAATTTCAAGTTGACAGTATCTTCTTAAGCCTAAAACATGAATAGGGTAAATTAATCTGTTTTAAATATTTTTCCTGAACTTTCTGATAAATTCCCATTAAATTGGTTTTGGTGTTAAAGAACACCTTCAATACACAAAACCAGATGATCAAAAAAAAGTATTTCCCCTTACTTCTTATGAAGTATAAAGGAGGAACAGATGCATAAAGTGCCTTTTGAGAAGTGCTACTCTCATTTCATTTGAAAACCTACAAATGCCACCACACACCAGGCTGTTATCAGACCTTTCCCTTTGCAGTGAAGTTGCAAACTTATTTGTTTCAAGTGCAGAAATTCACTTCAAAATGTTCAGGGAACAGGAGAGTCCTTTGCAAATATTTCTGTTAAAAGAGTTGGGACCTACTGAGCTGGTGGAACTAGAGGACTGAAAGAAAATGGAAGGTGAAGATACAATCATTCTTTTTCCAAATTCCTCTTCCACTTCTTTTGGCTCCTAGGCCAAACTTCAGCTCCCTCTGTCTGGGAGATTTTAAGGAGAATCTTGGTCATAGTTATACTTGAAAACTTCTGGGTAGAAAAAAAAAGACCTGCACAATAAAAGTTACCCTGAAGGAATTGAGGTGATTCCAGGATGTCTGCCACAGAAGAATTAGGCAGGAATTTCACCAGCATTTTCTAACTGTAAAGTATTCTTTTTCTAATTTAACTGTTAGTTACCCTGCACCTGCTTTAGTCTGTTTGAACATCCTGAGAGCAAGCAGAGGCCACGTACATCTTGGATATTGCTGGTGGGGATTTCCAGCACCCCTGGCTGGCAGGCAGGGTGACACACAGGCTCTGGTGGCAGCCAGGGGCACAGGGCAGCCAGCTCTGGGTGAGAGCAGCTGTGCCTGGCAGTGCTGGCACAGAGCCCTGCACCCCGTGTTTGCTGGTGAGGTGTTTGTGGTGCTGCTACGTGGGTGCTGCCAGCTCCACAGGGAAATGTTTATTAGCAGAGAAAGAGACAAGACTTGTTAAGTACAGGGGTTTTTTCCCCTCTTATCCCTTCTCCTAGCCTGCACTGAGTGGGGAAGGTGTTCAAACGGGATCGAGCCAGCTCAGCACACGTGGCTGTGTGTGCATGTCTGTGCCTGCCAGCTCAGTGCACCCTATGATGCTGGCAAAGCGTTTCTGATCATTGTGGTCCCTTCCAAATATATCTAACTCCTGGTGTCTGTCAGTCTAGTTCACTGGTATTTAAATGATGAGGCTGTACTATTTAAAGCACACAAGTACACATGCATTTAAATACTTGCTATCTCATCTGTTGTTTAATAGGATTCTTAGTGATATCACTTGTATATAGCAGGATTTCACACCAAGTAAGCATGAACATGACAGTGTACTTCCTGGATGCTAATTCAGGATAAATCTTAAACTAGCCCACAGTACAACCAGACTTCCTCATGTACTTCCTCATGTGGCAGTCCCAAAGTTTTGTCTAGTACCAGTGTCATTTGTTGCCTTGTCTCCTGGTTCAACTCTGTGACTGAGACTAGAGCACCTGCATTTTTCCTTACATATCTTTCCTTAAGTTAGCACAGCTGCATCACCATATCTCTAAAGGAACAGTGTAAACTCAACCTTTCCCTGTCTTTTTCTCTGCCTCCAAGGCAGAGTAGCTCTGCCCAGAGCTCAGGATTTTTCACTTACATCCTTGTGGAGCCCAGCATCCAGCCTGAGCACTCACTGCAACGCTGTGTTGTAGTCTGCAGTATTGACATTATCTTCATTTGAACTTACCATGCTCTTTCCAAGAAATCCAGTAGATAAATCTTCCCAACATATCTAGGATAATCTTTAGAGCTTGCTGCTCAAGCAGTGGAGGGATAGTGAAATAGGTAGGGTGTTGTGTCAGGGGCTCTCACTCAAATGCTGGCAAAACCCTCCTGGAGCTGAGCCCTGGCTGGAGCACACCATGAAGATATCCTCCATGTCAGGGGAGTTTTGGCTCTGCCCAGGTCAGGCTGCAGGGTGTGAACAGCATGAGGCACATGTATCACATTAAATAAGCACAGAGAAATCCATTGACATTGAAATTGTACTGAAGACATGGCTCAAGTTCAGAAAGCTCAGTGGTGGCACTGTGGGTGACACTGGCACAGGGTGCAAAGGTGAGCCTGGGCCCCAGCTTCACGTGCTGCCATCGTGCTGCCATCATGTTTGTCTTGCCTTTATCTCCCCTGTCAGCCTCTCACCAGTAAAACCTTTGTGTTGGGCTTTATGATGGCCAAGGGGGAACAGCAGCTCCTGAATGCCTGCCCTGCCGCAGGGCCCAAACCCAGCAAACACCCAGGGCTGTGCCCAGCTCAGCCTGCACCTTTCACAAGTTAGCATTGATGCAGCTGTGGGGGGGACAGTCCCCAGCACAAATCCATCCTCTGTAGGAGAGCTTAGCCTCTCGCTGTTTGGGTGTGGTCAACATAGAAATTCAGAAGCACAGAGGAGAAAAACAGTCACAAGTATCAATATCCAAGTCTGATTTTGTATTGGAAACATGCCAGTAGTCCTCTCTAAAGGTCAGCGTGACATGTGAGGTGCATTGGCCCCCTTAGATACTTTCAGACATAAACACACATTTTTCCATATCAAAAGATGCTTACACCTCTTTCATAACTACTAACTGTGCTCCAAATTTAAGCTTTAAGAAAACATAGGTTTTTTCCCTCTGCAAACCAACAAAACATGGAACCCATTTGATGTGTGTTCATACCTTGCTGCCTCGTACATGACTTTCCCAAGGCTCTCATGTCTGGGGCACAGGTGCAGATATAGAGCTGCCTCGAGCAATGTTTCAACATTGTCAGAAAAGCAGCTATGATGGAGATGGCAATCATTCCTTTGCAATAATGTGGTAAATAGGGATGCTATTTTTAACCAAAAAAAAAAAAAAAGGCTGTGGTGTTCAGTCAGTTGTGCAAGTATTACATCAAGTAGTTTGTTCCTCAGGGGCATTAGCTGTTGGCAATCACTAAACCCTTAGACTGTTCCTGTTAGTAATAACATCTTGCCATTCACTTGTCCACTCCATGCTGGAAATTTTTGTTGACTGAGAATGATCAGGACCTCAGTGTATAAGGGCTGGGGGACAACTGCTCAGGGTGAAAATCACTGCAAAGGGCTGTATTTGGCAGTGCTGGGTAAGTAACACCTAACCCACTGCAGGTTTTTTTTTTGACTCCTATATCCAGTGTAATCTGTGGCTAGAGGTGTGGTTTTAGATCAGCTAATTTATCATTATTAGCTTGTTATTAGAGTTTTCCTGTCCACATCTGGCATGGTAAATTCTGAGTGACCAGGACGCTCAGCCCTCTATTTGTGTGCTGCTGAAGGCATTTCCCAGCACAAGATCTGCCTATGCTCTGCCTTCTCCTTGCTGTTCTCACTTACAACTTAAACACTGCTGCACCTTCAGAGAGAGAACAGAATGTTTTCAAACCTAGATAACCATGCAAAGCCAAGCAAAAGAGAGCAGGGGTTCGGACCAGCCCTATGTCTCACCAGTTTTTCAAATATGCCTTGGGACTTGACCTGTTAAGAGTTCCCAGTTCTCTGCTCTCGTGGTCGGCTCCCAGATCTCTCTCGCTCCTCGCCTTTTCCCGGGAATGTGCAGGTTGGCAGAATGTCCACGCGGTGGCAGTTCAGTCCCCAGCAGCACGGGGACACGCGGGGAGGCTCAGCTCAGCCCAGCCCAGTCCAGCCCAGCTCAGCCCAGCTCAGCCCAGCCCAGCTCAGCCCAGCTCAGCCCAGCCCAGCCCAGCCCAGCTCAGCCCAGCTCAGCCCAGCCCAGCCCAGCCCAGCCCAGCCCAGCTCAGCCCAGCTCAGCCCAGCCCAGCTCAGCCCAGCCCAGCCCAGCTCAGCCCAGCCCAGCTCAGCCCAGCTCAGCCCAGCTCAGCCCAGCCCAGCCCAGCCCAGCCCAGCCCAGCTCAGCTCAGCCCAGCCCAGCTCAGCCCAGCCCAGCTCAGCCCAGCCCAGCCCAGTCAAGCCCAGCTCAGCCCAGTCCAGCCCAGCTCAGCCCAGTCCAGCCCTGCTCCTTTCTTCCAGCGCAGCGTGTGGCTGCCGGGCAGATCACAAACACAGGAGTGTCTCGGGATCATGTCCTTCACTCGAGGGTATAGAAGCACGTTAGAATAAAAACAAAGGGTTGTATTAAAGTTAGTTGGAACACAAACAAAAGCTTTTATTGAAGGTCATCTTTAAAGCACGAAAAATAAGATCATTTCTGCAGCGTATCCAGGCTGAATACTTAGGGGAGTTATCAGGATAATTATATTTGCCCGAGATTGTGAGAGCATACCTGATTTACTCAGGGATTACAACTGTACCACATAGCCTCTCTTCCCCATAAAAATGTATAAAATACAAAATATTTTATCACCTCCCAGTTAGCTGCTCACAAACAAGGTACAAGCAGGACTTTTTCACAGGAATTATTCTGAGACTGATTCCAAATGAAACAACAACTTACACATAGTTATGATGTATTCTTGAAGTATGCTGAAAAGACATTGATGACACTCCGAAAATCAATGTTTCATCAGGAAGTTCACTGAATGTCTTTAAAATCATGGTTTCATCAGCTAGCTTAGTTTTTAAACATCAGCTAGTTTTAGTTTTTAAACTTTGTCTGGGTGATGCTATTCTTGTTATCAGCTATATCTTTCCTATATGGATACTCATACTATGTTATCATTATATGCACTGCCTGACCAGTGGGAAGGAATGGTAGCCTTTTTTTGAAAATAGGCAGTTTTAAAAGCACAGCCTTAACAGGGAAAAAAACCCCAGTCTTGAAGACTTCCAGGGATGTGGCATCCACAACTCCTCTGGACAACCTGTTCCAGTGCCTCGCTATTCTCATAGTAAAGATTTTATTCCTAATATCTAATCTAGATCTACCTTCTTTAAGTTCAAGGACATTCCCCCTTGTCATGCTCTTGTGACAAGCTCTTTTGCAGCCCCTGCAATAAGGTCTCTCAAGAACCTTCTTATTCTATGGGCTGAACAGCTCCGACTGTCTCAGCCTGTCTTCATAGGAAAAGTGCTCTGTGAGCATCTTCGTGTCTTCCTATGGACCACATCCACATCTACATCTACACATGCACACACACACAGACAGACACCCACACACCCATACCCACACACACACACCCCCACACACACCCACACACACAGACCCACAGCCAAACCAACATCAACATACACACACCCACACCCATCATCACACACCGTGCGCGTGTTTCACAGCACCGCGCCCCAGCGCAGGCCGCCGCCGCCGGGCTCTTTAAACGGGGCCGTCCCCGCCCGCCCCGGGGCCCGGCTCGGCCCGCCCGCCCCTTGCTCCTCGGGCGGCGGGAGACGCTGTCAGTCGGCCGGGATGGAAGTGCTGTGGGCGGCGGTGGGGCTCCTGCTGGCGCTGGCCCTCCTGGCCTTGGTCCTGTACTGCTGCTACGTGCAGTACATCCACGCCAAGTACGACTACATCCCCGGCGCGCCGCGGCAGAGGTAAGGGCCGGCCGGGCAGGCGCGGCGGCGGCGGGCAGGCTCGGGGACTCCGCTGCCAGGCCGGAGCCGTGAGGCGGCCTCAGAGCAGGAATCTGCCCTCCAGCCGCTGTCCGGGCGAGGGCGAGGAGTCACACAGGCTGGGCACAGCGCTGGTGGGTGCCCGCTTCCCGGGCATCGCTGCGATCCCGCAGCCTGCTCAGCAGCACGGCCTGCCCGGCCGGGGCTGCGCGTCCCGACCTACACGGCCCGAGCGGCTATAGCGGCACTAAGGGGCGCTTCAGAGCCGCCCACAGGAGCTGCGCCATTGCTCCTGACCCTGCAGAGGGGCCTGACAGCGGCGTCGGCCGCGCAGGAGGGACCGCACCGCCCCCGGGCCTCACTGCGCCGGGAGGCACACTGACACTAACTCCAGCAGGCGCCTTCCGTGCCCTCCTTCATAAGCCGGGTGTTTAGCTTCTGCCAAAAATAAATAAAGAGGTCTTAAGTGATAAGGGGTGATGAGAAAGCTGCCAGCAAGGCAGTGGCAGAGCTGTCACAAGGAGTCATAGCTCCTGCAGGAGTGTGTGAGCTCCCCACTTAACCTCACCTGTGGGTGCACATGCCCTCCCTAACAGGCCACAGGAAGAGACACCAGCACTCATACACAGCCTTACAGGGACACCAGCACTCTCCTGCCCACCTCCAGGCTTCAGCCTGCTTGTGTAATCAGGGTCAGACACCAAAAGTAGAGAGAGGATGATCTTGTCATACCTGAACCTGCTCGTCCTTGGGTTCATTTGTGAAGTAACACCGTGGTGTGATGGCACACCAGAGGAGCCATGAGTGGGACCTTGTTTGGACCCTGTTTCCTTCACTGCAGATAGAGCAATTTCCAGAGCTAACAAAGGAGTTGTGTTGTGTTTCAGGCTTTCACATCTTTTTGGGATACTATTACAAAGGAAGAGTCAAACAAGTGGAGGATTAAAAGTTTCTGTAGATGTTGAGTAACTTTGTAGAGTTCTTGTTATTTTAAGTGCCTCCCAGTTCCAACAGTAATAAAATAAGAGCCTGTTTTTCCCCATAGCTTATTTATACTGAAAAGGATGATAACATGCCTCTCTGTCTCTCAAATGGAAAACAGATCTTGAGTGCAGCTTGCTTCATTTAGAGAGGAGCTTGGCCAAATCTTCCCTCAGATTTATGCAAAGCCAGTGGGAATTCACCATTCACAGTTGAAAGAAGGAATTGATCTCTAAGTTTTTAATGCAGCTATATTTGAAGAGTTAACAGTTTTTATTAGTTTCTTCAATTTCAATATTAACCAGTAATTATCCTCCTCAGTATTTGAAATTATGCAGTTTGGGACAGAAGGAGATGATTCCTAATTTCTCTTAACAGAAATCCATTGACAGAAAGGAAGTTACACTTACCAGGGATAAGCATGTATTAAGGAGCATTTAATGCAAATACCTCTTTCATGTACAGCAATGTAACAGCTGCAGTCAAGATTCACTCAGGCAAAGAGCAAAGCAGTTCATGGGGGATCCCATCCAGACCCAAACATCTCCTACAATACAGCATAAGAAAAAGATCTCATCCTTCATCTCTGTGCTGCTCTCCCTGGCTGCATGTGAGCACCAGCCTGTCTGTGGTGCCCAGTTCACCAGCTTGGTGAGGGCTGGGCATTGGCACAGCTCAGAGTTAGTTTCATCTTCCCTTTCAAGAAAAACATGAGCAACACTCACTGAGCAACCAGGCTTGCAATCCATACAAAACCCTATGCTGGCATTCTCATGACACTCTTAACCTTCATATTCTGCAGCTTTTTATTTGGACACCTGCCAATCATATGGAGAATGGTGAGGAAACAGGAGTTCACACCAGATGTCTTGCTGCAGTGGTAAGTTGAGGCACATCAATAACATTGAATGGGGTAGTCCTGTAGCACATATAGAGAAATCAAGGCACAAAGACCTTACAGAATTACATCAGTGAGAAGGTTGGGAAAGGAGCCAGAGAGAGAGCATTGACCTTTCAGATCTGATTAGATATTAGAAAAAACTTTTTTACTGGAAGAATGGTTGGCCACTGGAATAAGGATAGTGGTGGAGTAACTTCATGAAAATGTTCAAGAGGCATCTGGATGTGGCACTTGAGGATATGGTTTAGGGGTGATTGTGGTGGTGATAGGTTGATGGTTGGATCAGATGATCTTGAAGGACTCTTCCAACATTGATTATTCTGTCCTGTGATTCTCTCTTAATGGCTTTATTGGCAGGGGACTGCAGTATTTCCCACTGCAATGTGCTCTGGTCCTTCAAGGTTATTAGGTCTCAGCTGTTATGTGTTGGTGTTTGTACCATAATTCTCTTTTTTTAAATGTTTTCATCTCACAGGGCAGAGAAATACGGACCTGTTGTACGAATTAATGCCTTTCACAGAATCTCAGTATTGGTTGTGTGTCCTGAAGGAGTGAAGGTACTGAAATAAAGCCAAATCAATGGTGGGGATAGGCCCATCCCTCCTCAACAGAGGAGAGCTGGTGCCTGATGATCAGAGCAGCACAGAGCAGTCAATCTGTGCTTGGCTCTGGCTGGGTTAGGAGAATGAAGTGCTTTGCTCTCCAGGCTGCCCTGATTTTTTTTTTCCTTGATCAGTTAATTTATTTTGTAACTTTTATTTAAACAGCACATATAGCAAACATTTTCCATTTGTGAAAAGCAGGCTGTCTGAAAGAGCTTAGTGTCTCAAATGAATGGGGCACAAGAGACCAAACTTCTTTCTCTTAATCTTTGCAATTACAACAGAGTGAAATTTCAGGTCATTGGGCAAAAAAGTGCTAGAGGGATGCAAAGCAAGCTAGCAGCACAGGAACTGGGGAATCAGGGCACACCAAATAATTCACCTACTCTTAAGACAATAGCTGCAGAAGAGGAGAGTAGATATGTATGAGTGAAATTTTGTATTTTGTCTGGGAAACAGATTGCACACAGTACTCACTGACCTGAGGTTTGATTTTAGGAGTTCTTGATGTCACCACAGCACCCAAAGGATCCAACGGTGTATGGTAGTCTCTTCAGCCTGTTTGGTGAGAGGTAGGCAAAACTCGTCTGTAGCCACTGTGATCTGGAAAAAAGTGCAAGATTAATAATATCCAAGGAATGTCATTTTGACTCAGACCATTTACCTTAGTGTGGGGATTAATTTCTGATTCCAGACACACATAAGCAGCATGTACCTGTTAAACTACATGTCAAGTCAAATGTCTTCCCAGTCAGGGAGGAGGATATGTTTGAGTTTGTTTTGCCTTGATCATGTATCCTTTTTCCCTCTGGGGATGTCCGGTTAGTCTCAGAGCAGTCTGCTCAAGACCATCATCAAAGTTCTCAGATTTTAGAGCACTCCATAAGGCGTGGAAGTTTGCAACTTCTAAATTCAATTCCAAAAAAAGGGAATTTTTCTTTGTTAGTCTGAAGCTTTTAAAAATAAAATAATCCAGTTGTAATATTTATTATTTACATAACAGTTGCAATGAACCAGCATCTTATTGGACTCAGCAGTCCACACCTACCTGGAGAAAAAAATCTGTGGTTCGGTTGTCATCCACAGTGATGCAATGGTTGCATACTCAAAGGTGCTCCCTACACATGGAAAAATAAAAGAAAGCAGATGTGAAAGACTTACATTTGTGACTGCATGGGGTTCAGCAGGCTCCCTTGCACAAACCTGTTCCTGTCCTTGTTTTCCTGTGTGGTAGGTTTCTAGGGAATAGCTTGGTAACTGTTTGCAACCATGAGCACTGGCACAAGCAGCGGAGGATAATGGATCCAGCCTTCAGCCGAAGGTAAGGCAAATACTGCTGGGACCTTCTAGCTGGTACTTCTACTGGATTGTCATGCTCCTCCCTGTCATTATTTGATATTTGGATGAAAAAGACCCCAACATTCAGTGCCAAAATCATATTTAACATAGAATCCAGCGCTCCATTCCCATGCTAAGTATAATTTGACCAGACTTCCCACAGAGCAGTGACACCCCTATGAACACAGCAAAGACAGAAAGGTCCCAGGGTTGTGTATCCTGGAGTATGGTTATGGCTGCCTTATCCTGTTGGAAAAGAGAAGGCAGAGGGTTGATCTGGTTTGATGCATTGTGTATAGGGATAAAGTCCATGTGCAAAGGGCACAGGCCACTGCCCTTTGCCATGACACATGTTAATTACATGGCAGGGCAGAGCAGGACTGATGTAAGAAGAATGTAGCTCATTCCATAAGCTTGCTTTTTAATGTATTAAGGCAAATTAATTATAAATTTTAAAAAGCTTTACCACTTTCTATGGAAAATAACAAAGGTTATTTTAACTGAGCAAAGATCAGAGCCCCCATTACTCATCTTTATTGATTGTTCAGCTACCTGATTGGTCTGATGGAAACTTTTAATGAAAAAGCAGAGGAGCTGATGGAGAAGCTGGAGAAAAAGGCAGATGGAAAAACAGAGTTTAGCATGCTGTCGATGATGAGCCGGGTGACTATGGATGTCATTGGAAAGGTACCAGCTGTCCCTTTCTTGTTTCCTCTCAACTGGCAGGAAGGGATGGAACTGATGCCTACCAGCAGCAGGATGGGATCAGGAGCTGGAGGCAGGGACAAAGACCTTTACCCAGCAGTGCCAGAAGACCTGCAGGACTAATAGTGCCACTGCCATTCAGGCTGAGCCATGGGAAAGGGCAGGTAGGGAAGGGTTTGCATAGTCCAGGTATGGCCTGCAGGATGGAGACCCTTTGCAAAAGTCCTTTCAGCCTCATGCCTGCCACTCCTCCAAGCCAAAAGGGACACACCAGGGCTCTTCCATGCTTGGAGGTTGTATTATTGCCATTGCATGTCAGCAGGAAGGCTGCCTTATGCTGCCTTTTCCCCTTCAATGCAAGCCAGTTTGGGATGAATGGAGAATAGTGGTAAATTATTAATCCACTCAAATAAGGAGGAAACATAATGTTGATATTGGCTGCCCCTCACAGACTCCTGCAAGGTAAGATCCAGCCTGATATTTAACTGAGATATTTTTAGGGGTAAAGGCAGTGCTGTGAGGTCATCCTGCTCTTTCACCCCCACCTCAGCAAGTTGCCTTTTTCTCTCCTGCTTTTCAGGCAGCCTTTGGTCTGGAATTGAATGCCCTGAGTGATGACCAGACACCTTTACCCAACGCTGTGACTAAGATCATGGAGGGACTGAACAAGGCACGCGACCCCTTCATAAGGGTCTGTACTCCCCTCACTTCAGTCCCCTCTCCTCACATTCAGCTGCTCCTCCTTGAGTTCATGGAGCCTTGCAAGGTCCATATATGTCAGGGGAACAGTCATCTGTAGATGTTTCTCTTCAATGGGCGTCAAGATAAAATTCATTATCGCTTTAAAAAACTCAGAAATTAATTTTGTTCCCCCCCTGCATGTGTCTCCTTCTGATATGTTTTATGCTCTTGTACCCATTAAAAATTGAGATTTTTGCCATTTGTCCATGAAGGATGGCAGCCTTCACTCAGGGTGGAAGAGCACTCTTGCTGTTAAAAAATTATATTTCCAACCCAAATTCATCTACCAGATTCATCTGCTAGGACGTGATGGATGTCATATGAAATATTTAAGTAAGGAATTATTCCAGTGTCTCATGAAAGCTGCAATTCAGGCTTTTAGAGCTCCTGTTTTCCTTTTTGAGACCAGGGGTGAGATTCTGCATTGCATGCTGCAGTTTGAGAGGTGATGAATTTTGCTCACAGTGCCCAAAACATCAGCTCTGACTCTGACAAGACACGACATCAGCATGCACAGATTGAAATATTTCTTATTTCAAAGGCTCAAACCCTTCATCCCCCAGGCATTCAGTTTGTTGCATGGAGAGCAAATGTTTCTGTGCCAAGTGTCATTTAGTGCAAAACAAGGTGCTCACATGTAAAATAAAACTGACATGATTTTTTTACCAGCAAAAGGAATGAAATGACAAAAAAAATTCTGTATTCAGTTCATGCCAGGAAAGCAGAAGATGCTAAGGGAGACCAGGGAGAGTGTGAGGCTGTTGAGACGTGTGGGGAAGCAGTGCATTGACCAGAGGAGAGAAGCCATCCAGAATGGGAAAGAAGCCTCAATGGATATTCTTACACAGATACTGAAAGGAGATGGTAAGAGACACCTTGCTGTCACTGTTTGAGTGAATTTCTCTGTGGTATGTTTTGCTGTGAAATTCAGGGAGGATTGTTTAGGAGATCTAAACTTGGATCTTCCTTTAAAGTTGTTTTCACACTGAAGATAGTGAGAATTGCTTTGAAAATTCCCTGTGTCTTTGTTTTGGATCAAGTACTGGTCACGAGTCACCACTGAAGTGCCCACTCAGCATCCTCTCTTGATGCCACCTCAGCCAATATGTGCCCAACAGGGCACAGCATTCTAGCTGGTCCAGCTGGGGCACAGGGGCATTTTCTGATTTCATTTGTTTTTCTATCTTAACAGCTCTGGAGGAGACTAGAGATGATGAAAACATTCTGGATAACTTTATTGCTTTCTTTGTTGCAGGTTGGTAGCTATTTTAATGCTTGGGTATGTCATGTGGGAAGCTGTGCTCATTCTTGAGCTGACTACAAGATTAAGATTAACATCCTTCTTAATCATAATTAACATCATCATTCCATGTGATGGTGCTGCAACCAGGAGTCTCTTGGTTGGCAGACCAAGTATTACACTGGCATAGGACCAGCTGGGTGAGGTCTGAAGAGAATTCTTAATTTAACAGGCAAATGATATATTGTCCTCTTTCAGTGATACCAACACAGCAAATAATGCCAGGTTGCTGTTTTCCAACCGTGGCTTCCCACTCTGTGTTCCAGCCTCTGCCTTTCCACTGCCCACTAGGGTGCAAGGCTGTTCCCTATGGGATTCTGGCCCTTCCACTCAGATCCCACTAAACTACCCAGATCTCACTAAACCCCACCAAAAACATCTTTTACATGTTCAATGTGTCTTTGCATCACCTCATCCACATAATTAAATGCCATTCTTGCCTAAGTAGAAGGCACTGTCAAGCCAATCAGAAAATGTATGGGCTGAGTAATTATATGAGATAGTTGGGGGTTTCTTGCAGATTTTGCAGATCAAGATGAGTTAGGTTCATAAGAAGGTGTGGTCAAAATGTTGTTCTTTAGCAAGAAAGATGTTATTGCAGCAGACATCTTTGCAGGAGTCTGTTTTCTGTAATGATTAAAAATAGTGCATATGTCTATCCATGAAAAAAAGGGAGAAGTGTCCACATCAGAGAGTCACTAAGTGGGTAAGGTTGGAAGGGTCTTCTGGTCCAAACTCCCTGCTCAAGCAGGGTCATCCTAACATGTAAAGCAGACCTTTCAAAGAAAGATGATAAGAAGCTCTGTTTTCCCTCAAAATCAGTAAATCCTTCCTTTTTGGCAGAACTGTGTGTCCCACAATATGACAAGGCAAATCTTGGACCTCGCTGGCCCTCCTCTTAGAGAGCTCATGACCAGTAGGTGCTGCATGCAACCACTGCAGCTTTGCTTAGGCGTGATGGGTCATTTCTTCACCAGCTATGTCCTCTCCTTGTCATTGTTGAAAGCTCTTTATGTAGACTTTACATGCCTTTTATTGTTTCCTTTCTTTTCTAGCATATTTAAAATAAAACATTTGGGGTTTGATGTTTAAAACTTCCTATTCACAATCACCTTGTAGACCACCTTTGTATCGTGTTAGTATTTCATACCAACTTTTAAACTGGTTTTTGTTATCATTAGGTCATGAAACCAGTGCCAATCAGATGACATTTACAGTAATGGCACTGGGTCAGCATCCTGAAATACTGGAAAGGTATGTGTGCTCCAATTTTCAGACCCAGCTAGATGTTAATTGCAAGGTGAACTTAATTGTAAAGGTTATTAAAAAGATAGGATCGTTAAATTCTAGCCTCCCTTCCAAAATAAACAGTTTCCTAGTACCATTATATCCAAAATGGTACAATGGATTATTTCAGTTTCACCTAGGTGATTTTTTCAAAGCCTTTATACGTGCAGATCCCAAATGCCCCCTGATTCAGCTGCCTTGTATGCACATTGCCTCATCCTGATATGAGGTACAAGTTCAGAAAAGCCTGGATGGGAATTGGTTGGCATTTTGCCTGAGGATGGGTGTTTAAGTCCAACTCAGTGTCTGGAATGTAAAATAATGTGATTTATCAACTTGCAAGAAACAGGCATCTGCATCTCACAGGTTTTAATTGACCTGCAGGGCTCAGGCTGAAGTGGATGAGGTTCTTGGTGCCAAGAGAGATGTTGACTATGAGGATCTTGGCAAGCTCACCTACTTATCCCAGGTACTGTAGGGGTGAGGTAAGGTACCAGGCAGAGCTGTTTGGTAGCACCTCTGACATGTCATGGAGGAGCCCCACACTTTAAAAATTTTAAAAACGATGCTAATATTTTATCCTGATAGTGTTTGTCCCCAGAGAGTCAGCCAGCAGGTAGCCTGACACATTTGCAGCAGCCCAGACTTATTGGGAAGATGCTCCTCAAATTTACAGATTCCTTCACTGCTTTCCTTAATTATTACCAGTCTGGAAGCTAGAGTAGAGTTGCATAGTCCCTATCTGTTTAAGGTGAAACAATTGCTGTAATTTTAAGAAAGGTATGCAAATATGAGCCCAACCTGTGTGTGAATCCCACACACTTTCCTTTTTCACTGCTCCATTTTTGTTTGATTATTGTTAAAGCATTTCCAGCTATGATCTCACCATATGCAATAAAGTGGGATTTGAGGATTGCCAAAAATAATGGCTGGGTTTTCTAATGTCAATTTTCTATTATTCAATCTTGAAACCCTCTTCAGTCACTCGGGGGTAGTGGGGGAAAGAGTTTGGTCCTAAAAGAGGTCTTGTGTATAGAAGGGCTGGTTGGTAATGAACTGCAAAGCCAGGGTTGGCTATTAGCCAGTGTTTGTGTTGCATTTTCTTTCTTCACAACTTGAGGGACACCAGTAGCCCTCAGGAGAGGCTGAATCACAGTCCTGGCAGCTGTTCTGCATAAATTGCCCTGTGATTTTAGTAGTCCACCATGATCCTTTTTGTTTTAAACTGCTCTGCTGAGGTGAGCAACAGTGTTTTACCATGTGGCATATCCCATCCCACAGATTACTGTGCATGGATAGCAGATAGATTTCATAGGTCTATTTCTCATAAGGAAAAGGCAATTCTGTGTGATTACAGAAATCAGCAGGCTTCCTTAGGCTTCTCCAAATGCCATCACAATTATACCACTCCAATTAGGATGAGGTATCTAAGCCTTTGAGTTTTAAAACAGATCACATGAGAGCTCCTCAAAGCAGACAGTTTATTTAACAGCACAATCTTAGATCTGTACAATCAAAATCAGTCACCCTTGGTCAGAGGCAGTCCATCACTGGAGTATCAGAGACTGTGGGGCTCCTCTCCTGTTGTTCAGGCAATCCTGAATCCTTTTGTCCAGGTTTCTTTTCCATTAATCCACTCGTGCATGCACACTGTTAATTGCATTTTCAGTGTGATGCTCATGTGTACTGTTAATTAGGTTTCACTTTGATGAAATAAGCCATTCTTACAGCTCACTGACACCAAAAGAAGTGGTCTTGTTCCATTTTTTTCTCAACATTCCCTATTCATTTTCCTTTGCCAGGTTGTTTTTTGTCTTTTTGGGGCTCTGACCTGGCTCAGCTCCTCAAGCAGCAGAAGCAAAGGCAGAAGCAGACAAAGGCAGGAGCTGAGAGTGGGAAGGAGGTGGGAACCATCACCCACCCTCATGGCAGCCAGTGCCCAGAACAGCTCATCAGGGGCAGGAGACTTCATTCTTAGATATTCCCTCTCAGTTTGCTTCCTAATTCTTTTTTGCTTAGTTGTTCATCTGACTTGAGGTGTTAGATCTGTTCCAGGATCTCTTCTGGGTTTTGTGTCTTTTTCTCTCTATTTTACCAGCTGTAAGAAAGAACCTGGCCTGAAGGAGCTGACTTAGCCATATATTTTGCCCACAGGAGTCCTAGGCAGATAGACCAAAGTCAAAATCTTCCATTTAGCAGAAGCGAAAGGCCACAGGGAGGTAATTAATTTTACTTCTGCTTCCTGTAGTGTATAACTAACTGAGCTCTTGTGCTTTTTGCTGCCCAGGTTCTGAAGGAGTCGCTGCGGCTGTACCCGCCCGTCTCAGGGACGCTCCGCAGGCTGGAGAGGGAGCACGTCATCAATGGCATCAAAATTCCTGCCAACACCATGGTCTTTGTGAGTCCCATCCACCTGCAGCAGCTTGGAGCTGCCCCACTTAATGTGGATGAGAAGGCCAAAATCTTCCCTGGGCATATTTATACTTGCTTCTCTAAAATTGTGACCAAAACTGGGGTATGGATTAAGACTCTTAGGTGGGACTGGAGAGTGGGAGGCATTTATGGTTTTATACCTCTGACAGCAAAGAGGCATTTTCAGTGTGTTGCTCCTGACTAACAAAAATAAACTCTTTCTTGGCAGCTCAGCACTTATGTGATGGGAAGGATGGAAAAGTTTTTCAAGGATCCACTTACTTTTGATCCAGAGCGATTCAGCAAAGATGCACCTAAGTGAGCTTCTTTTTATTCCCATGTTATTAAATATGTATTAACAAACCATTACAGGAAGAGATTTTAAGGGAAAGAAAAGTAGAATAAAACTATTTTTCCATTCCAGTATGAGTAAAACTAAATCATCCAAATGGAAATAGAGAGCAATAAGCTTTTGTTCAAGAATTCTTTAGACCACATGTTACCTTTAAAAAAATAGACCAATGTTATTGTTATTAAATGTTTATATTGAGGTCAAAGCTTTGGGCCCAAACCTGGTTGAATATTTGCCTTAGTACATTGCAAGCATTTAATGCATGACGGCCCTGGTCCCAGGGTGCTTGAAATGTCTCCATATTAGACAGGGGAGAAGGGCCTGAGGGAGAGAAGATGCTGTTCAGCCACATGGGCAGGCAGCCTAAGTCTAGTCAGTGGTCAGGAGTGCAGTAGAAAGAACCAGTGAGTGACTAAACAGATGCACAGATCAGTACCAGCTACTTCATGAGTCAGGAGTTTTCCTTCAGCCTAGAGTTAGTCTGGTCTCCTAAACCAAACACCCCCTCACTCCCGTGGTTCAGAGCTGCCCAAAGGAGCAATAACTGGGCAGATTGTGATGTCCTCATGACAGGCTGAAGAGCATCTGGAGTGTGCTTGACATTCAGCTTTGAAATAAGGCTGGCTTGCATCAAAACAGCTCTGGCAGCTGAGCCATGCAGTTAACAGAGATGACAAGGAAATGTGCTGCTGAGCTGTATGGCTGCTCTGAAGCAAAAAAGAGTTAATTTGGGGACTGCTTTAACAAGTCCAATAGGTGAGGGGATATTTAGACCATTTCCTTGCTGCTGTGATGAAATAATTTGCTTGTTTCTTTACAACCAAGTTGTCAGAGTGACAATTTTGACCATTTTTCTTTGCAGGCCATATTACTGCTATTTCCCATTCTCTCTGGGACCCCGATCCTGCATCGGGCAGGTGTTTGCACAGGTGAGTAGAGGCCTAGAACACTTGGTTAGCAAGCACAGGACCAGCTCAGGGTGTGCTGACCATGGTGGGGGTGGGCACCAGAGGCCACATTGATGTGCACTGCCCCTCTTCTCCTCAGAGGGAAGATCTCCCCCCATGCCCATGACAAATGCTGTCACAGGAGCAGACATCCAAGGTGTCTGCAGGGAGGAGCAGCAGGCTGCACTCCTTCCAAACTGTCCTGGGTCAGCCTGCTTGAATCCAAACCCCTTAATGGGAATCACAGTCGACATTCCTTTGCCAGCCAAGGTCAAGCACACAGGGAATGTGCAGAGGGTCTTGGGGATCATCTCATGGCTACCACTGCCAGAATCAAGGCAGGTAAAACATCAGCTGGAGGTGGACACAAGATAGAAGTGGCACAGAGAAGGTGAGGAAGGGGCTATATGGACAGAAGGAACAATTTCATGTGTGTAAGTGTGGCAGAGAGACTTTCAGGACAGCCAGAGGCCAGTGCTTTGGGTCTGGGCCGTGAGCTCATCTAAGCACCAGTGCTCAGAGTGCTTTAGTTTTATAGTCTGACTTCCAAAATGGATTTAACACGGAAACAGAAAGACTGATCTTAGTGCCTGTCAGTTGTCTTCAAATCCAGGAAGTCCCAGGTTTCCTGCCCAAACTCAACCTGCTGCATTAACAGAATAATATTTAACTTTCAAATCTCTGTATTGACAAAGCAGTATAAGATAGTAGACTGACTTTAAGCTGTATTTGCTGTCACTGACTTCTATTTTCTTCTTAACAGATGGAAGTAAAAGTGGTGATGGCAAAGCTGCTGCAGAGGTTTGAAATACAGCTGGTGCCAGGACAGAATTTCCAACTCATCGAGGCTGGAACCTTAAAGCCACTAGATGGAGTAAAATGTAAATTAAAGCCAAGGATCTCTGTAAGACGCTGCCAGGCATGACTGCTCAGGGAGGGGAGCGTGGCATGCTGCTGGTAGTGGTTCTTCTGATTTTGAAAATCTTGGCACTAATCAAAGGTTAGAGTTTGTAGACCCCCTTAGAGGATCACTAGACTGAAATTATTTCTAAACTTCCTTATAATTTACTGAAGAAAACCTAGCTCATGGTTTCCACTAAGCATATATACAACACAACATGGTCTAAGTAAGCCCTTGTTTGGGGAGTTTCTTACTCACACAATGAAATCAGAAAAGAGTAGAGCGTAGACATGGGCTGAATTGAGGAAGAGAAGTTTGGAGATAGTCTCTTGGTCAAAGCAATTTTTCTATCCCTGCTCCAAATGTGAATAACAATTGATAGGAATAATCTGAAAAAAAACTCAAAAAATCAGAGTCTGAGGCCACTACTTTTTCCTCATGCTACTGCCTGATTTTTTTTCAGTCTCTTCTGCTTTTCTTTTGATATTATGCAAAGCATAAATTCCCAGTCCACACTGTAGAAAGGGATTATCCTGCTTCCTCCTGCCCTTCCACACAGCCTGTGCTCATTCTTCTGAGACATTCTTCTTTGTGGGGAAAGTCTTGCTGTGTTTATTTTAACCTGGATTCTCCCCATATTGTTTGCCACAAAGCTACAGTAACACTTAGACCAGATGGTCTAGCAGGTACAGGAGGGCTGCAAATAAGTGCCTGAACTGAATGCTGCTTAAAATGGTGTTGCCACTGAAGAAATGTGTCTGCAATTTGAGCCAGAGACAGGAAGGTCCTGCACCCCCTTGTGCTGCAGATGAGCCTGAAGATGTGTCTGTGAACACTGCATGTAGGCTTGCAGCCAGGCCCCGCTAGGGAGAAAAAAGTATCATTTGAAAATGCTGCCTTCCAGAAATGTGCATACCTAATAGGAGTTTGGGTCTCCTCTATCATGAAATACAGAGAATTAAAGGCATTTGATGCTGCCACTTTTGTTTCTTGTCTTTCTGAATTAAAAGAGCAAGAACACAGTCTGTGTGCTGTCAAGTTCCTGTGGTGGTTTCCATACCAGGAGGGCAACATCCCAGAGCTTTTCCTGACCTTGCTGCTGTTGTGCACCGTCTCATTCAGTGCAGCAGTGGGATACAGGCCCAGAAGGTTGATGCTTCAATCAACACCTCACAGTGTAGTAACATGACTTTCACCTGGGGTACCAGTACCTGTATTGCAAGGGAAGGTTTAATCCATCTATCAGTAGACCAGCTTTTCAAGACCTTGTGCTTGAAATCTGGATTATATCCTCCCCGACATTAATGAAAGCCCATTGGGAAGGCTGAGGACTCTTCAGCTGGACATGTGTTCCCAGGAGCTGATGGAGGATGTCCCATGCCAGGCAGGCTGGAGGTGCTGGTGGCATAACAAATGCCTGAATCCTGGGAATGTGTCAAAGGCAGGGCAGTATCTTGGGGCTGTGGGGAGTGGGGGGAAGCTGTGACAGGAGTGGCATATGCTGTGAACAGCACACAGACAGCTCAACAGACCCTGGCAAATTGTGCTGTGGAAATGTGAGATGCCACCCCACCAGGGCTCTGCTCAGTGCTACCAGTGAACTAGCTGAGATCCATTAGTTACACACACCTAGCTGCCTTCTGCCACCTCTGCAGTGAGGTCAGGCACCTCCAAGGAGGGCTCAAGGGGGCGTGGTGAGCATGTTAAAATTCTGCAGTGAGTTCTGTCAGCCCAAGACTCATGTGCCCAAGACTGGAGCTTCCTGACTGCTTTGTGCTTACCCTCCTCAGAGGGCCTTCCTGCTCTCTCTGCAAGCCCAAATGCCATCCAGCTCTTACAGGACCACTGGCCCAGGCCTTGCTCTTTTTCCTGCATCAAGGAGTGTCTCCTGTCAGGCTGACTGCCTCCCAGCAGATGGCAAGCACTCCTTGCTGATGCACCCAACAGCAGCAGCACTCCTCAGCCTTCACAGCTCCTCTCTTAGGTCAGGCTCCCCTCATACTGGAGGAGATGGTGGCCTGTGGGCCATGCAAATGCCCTGCAGTGTTCTCATGGTTTCATCCAGAACCTCTAGTCAGGAGGTCATCCTTTGTCTGACCAAAAACAAACCCCCAACCCCCCCCCCCCCCAAAAAAAACCCCATACAAACGAAATAAAAACCAAACAAACAATCCAAAAAAACCCCAAACCAAGCAAGTTCAGGAAAGCTGCTTCCTAGTGCCCTATATGCCAACTGGGTGCTGGCATCAGCTTTGCTAAACCCTGTTGAGAAAGCTCAGACCAGAAGTGCCTAGGGAGACAGCTGTGCCTGCCATGGACTGTAAGAACACCTGGGAGCTGCAGCTGTCTTGGGCACCACAAAAAATGACAAGATTTCTTCCTGCTGGGGAAGAGAAACATTATTTCAGTTCTAGGGCAATCATTATTGCACCAAGCCCTTGGCTGGGGTTCCTGGCTGGTAAGGCAAAAAAGCAGAGCAAGGTCTGTCTCCCTAGTTCACTTGCTTGTAGGAAGGTATCATACCTGCATCTGACTTTCTTCTTACCCTTTTCCTGGCTCTTGGGCAATACAAAGAGAAATCTGGAAATGGCTGCTGGGGTGGTTTTTTCCTGGGTGCCACCCAGGCATGGCCACACACAGGCCAGTCAGTGTTGCATGCCTGGAGGCTGGATGCAAGAGGCTTTCTCAGTTGACAGGGAGTGCAAAGCCAGGCTGCTCAGGCTGCCCCTGCACTCTGCAGAGAAGTGCCTGCCCTCCAGCAGCTCCCCTGGCTTTCACCCTGCCTCAGATGTGCGCACTTACAGCTGGACAGGAACTGTCTGGGGGCAGCCAGAGCTCAGCTGGCAGGAGTCAGGGGAACTGCTGCCCTCAAAGGCAAGGGCACCAGTGATGACATGCATTCCCAAGAGTCTTTATTAGAGCTGTCTGAGTCTTCCTCCTGTTCTGAAGTGGCTGCTGCAGGTTTCTTTGATCCCTCTCCCAGACCTATAAACTCCTGGCCTCCCCTTCTGGACTGATGCCCAGGACTTTCATGTGTGTGCTCAGAGTGAAAACTTTCCCCCCAGGATTTCTCCCCAGGTTTTTTTATGCTAACCGAAGAGCTTGATCCTATCCGTTCTAGATCAGTGTCAGAGACAAGAAACAGGGAAATGCTCGTGCCTAGATCTCTTGGGATAGGAGGGAACTAGCTAGGGAAATTGTACCCAGAGGTGTCTGTCTGTCAGAAGGCAAACACTTTCAGTGTTGGCATGGGAAAATGGGATGCTTTCTCACCCCAGTTAGTCTGGAGCACAGGAGACTCCCAAAGTGTAGACTCATCTACCCTTCATGTACAGACTCATCACATTTTGAGAAAGGAGCCCAGCTAGCATTAGTGCCAGGACAATTTTTCATGAGAGGAATCTCATTCCAGCCCTTACAGGAAGCCAGAAAAAGCTAAGAAGCGTGGGATTCAATCACACTTATTGAAATTATAGCACAGTGTGATATTTTCTGAACAGTAGACAGCCTTCTGCTCCATCTATAGCCTATAAAGGAATGAATGTAGATAAGAAAGTGCAATATACTTGTGGGCCTAGGGGAGCACACAGGTTAACCATGTGTGGATTTGCACTTGGAGGGGTTGTATGATGAGAGCTGCAACAGGAGGCCTTCCCTGGATTTAAGCAGCCTCTGCTGCTGGGACCATACAATGACAAAGCAGATATCTGTGGCATGTATCCATCTGCTCCACACAGAGCTCGCATGCTATCAAAGGCAGTAAATTCAGGCAGAACCCTCCAAGGAACTAAAAGACACTCAAATGACCACATACTCCCCTGCTACATGCCTGCTGCAGCACTTTGCTGTGTTTCCCATTTCAGGTGTCAGCTCTGTCAAGCAAGGCCACCTCTTGTGCCATAGTCTGCAAAAAGCCTTGCACAGCAGAGCCATGGTCTTGGCAGGAATCCCTAAGTGCTAGTGCAGAGCAAGTAAATAATCATGTGTTGTTATTTTTTATGTATCTGTGAGTCTTGTCTAATAGGTTTTGTTGAGGACAGGCTGAAATTAGATAATAGTACACACAGCTGGCATCTATTCCCTTGGAAACACAGGTAAAAATGTATTTAATGCCTCCCCAGTGACAATGAATATTCATTACTACGACACAGATGTATACTTGATTTGAAAATAAGAACAGTAATTAAAGAGCTATTAAGGTTAAAAAGCAACAAAGGAAATTCAGCTACTCAAAGAGCTGTTCTGGGATCAGCTTCTGACCTGTCTGTGCATGGGTAAGCACAGGAGGCCTGGGATTTTCCACTTGATTATTTTACATGCAGGCAGACCGTTTGTTTTGCTGTCCCTCCTCAAACTCTGCCATCTGGAAATGACCTGAGTTCAGAGTTCATCTCTCCTGCTCTCTTACTGAACAGCTGTGCTCTGCTGAGGTACTTTGTCTCATTGGCTGCTCCAGTGGTATTGAACCAACAAGAAGTGAAAGGGAAACTTCCTGCAGGCTTTTGGGAAGGAAGCTATTTAAAAGTGATCATTTATATACATTATTTTTATTAAAATAGCGTTGAGAATCACCAGTTTTGATAGCTGACTTGCTGTAATCTCTGAAAATCTCCATCCCACTGGCCGTGACATTGAAGTTGAATTTCTTAGGGGTGTTTCACAAAGGTTCCTTTGCAGGGGTGACTTGTGGCCATGACCCCAGCAGTGCACACAGAGAGTTATGAGTGAGCCAGAGAGAGGTACTGGCACTGCTGTGCATGGAGGTGGGAGATGGAGCAGATGTGCCCCAGGGCAGTGCAGCACTGCAGAACTGAGGTCCCACTGCTTGATGCCAGCCAGGGCACACCCTGTGCAATCTCACCCACTGTGTGCCAGCGTGTGACCTGCCAGAAGCTGCAGGCTCTCAGCAGGGCCGTGCCACAGGAACAGGGCAGCAGCATCCTCCAAGCCCAGCTGTGCCATGCATCACCTGCTCCTTCTCTGGGGAGAGTCTAGTTATGCCACTGAAAACATTGGGGCAGAAAATGAAGCAGACCAGGTGCAGAGGCAGACTATTATTTTAATTTCTAACTCGGTAGCATAAACATAAATAAAAAACTGAATCCACCCACTTGGCTGTTGTTTCAGGCTGCTCAGTGAGGAGAGTTAACTGCGTATTGCCTAAATTAGAAGCAGACAAACTGCATCTGCCTTTGCCCTAAGCTAACCTGACTGGCTTTCTGCACAGCAGAGCCCGGTGCAGATACGTGTGTAAAACAGTGACAGAGCTGCGGCAGGGACCTGTCCTGCTTCTCGCACCCGCGTCGGAAACTTTCCCGTCCCGCTCAGGTACACGTGTGTCACAGAAGGCAACTCTGAGCTGTGTCACCATCGACACTGATCGATCTCACCGCCTCACAAACGACAGATGTGTGCTTTCTGCCTGCACTGGCTGGCTTTGCTGGAGGATGGGTTCGGTTTGGTTTTTTTTCCCCTGGAAAAAATTCCAATTCCGTGCTTAGGCAGTGTATTACTGATTCAACCTCATAGGGTTTATCCTTCTAATAGGAGAAACTGCCAGTGTTTTCTCTTCTTAGAAACCGAACCTGAGAGTTGTAAGCGGCAGGGAAACGCGATATCCCAGTTCTCACTGCTTTTAACCCGCCGTACATCCCTCGGCTGTAATCTGCGGTACCCTCTAGCAGGGCTGACGATATTCCCGCCCGTGAAACCCGCGTGTTCTGCTATAAACAGCCATCGTGGAGCGTGGCCGGGTGTCTGCGAGGATGTGCCGCTCGCACCCGGCACCTCCGCTTCCCACCCCGGGCCACCTCCTGTAGCACCGCTAAGGCTGCTCCGCCGCCTCCCCTCCCTGGGCGGTCCGTGCCGCCGCTGCCCCGTGCGCCCGCGGGGCCGGGCCGGGCCGTGCCGAGCCGGGCGGGCGGGGTGGGGGCGCCGGGGGCCCGACACGCCCCCTCGGTGGCGCTCGGCTTCCCGGCGCGGCGGAGCGCGGGCGGCAGAGCGGCGGAACCGGGCGGGCAGCGGGAGCCGGGCGCGCAGCCCCGCTCTCCATGGCGGCGGCGGCGGGGCGGGCGCGGCGCGGAGCTCGGCTGAGCGCGGCCGCGCTGCTGGCGCTGCCGGCCCTGGCGCTGCTGGCGCTGCTGGCGCTCCCGGCGGTGCCGGCCGGCCGCGGTGCCGGTGGCGGTGAGGCGCAGCCGGGCTTCTCGCCGCCGCTGCTGCTGCCGCCCGGCTTGCGGGAGGAGCTGCGGCAGAGGCGGCGCGACCTGCGGCGGCTGGAGGCGGCGGCGGGCGGCGGGGAGGCGGCGGCCGCGGCGGGGCTGGGCTGCGGCGACCTGAGCCGGGCCACGGCCGTCAGCGTGCTGGGCTGGGGCTTCACCAAGGTGGTGGCGCGGGCGGCGCTGGCGGGCGGGGGCACCGTGGCGCTCAAGTCGGTGCACGGGGCGGGCCGGGAGGTGCGGCGCTGCGTGCAGCGGTACGGGGCTCCGGCCGGCTGCCGCCGCCTGGCCGCCTACAAGCTGCTCAAGGAGGTGACGCTGCTGCAGCGCCTGCAGCACCCCGGCATCGTCAAGGTACGGCACCGCGGGACGGGGGCTGCGGGAGGCGCTGCCTGGGCACGGCGGGGCGGGGGAATCGCTGCCGGGGCTGAGCCGGTCCGCCCGAGGTGCCCACGCTGTCCTCGGGCGGCCGAGATCTGCTGGCAGTGGCAGCGATATCGCCCCGACCGCGGCTTCTGCTCTCCCGCAGCTGCACGGCCAATGCTATGACAACAGCGGAGATGCTGAGCTGCGGGTCACAGCCATGCTGGAGCTGGGATCCCCGCTGGAGATGATTCAGCTCCTGCAGACCCCCTGGGAGGAAAGATTTAAAGTAAGAAAACAAAGCAAAGGAGTTTTATCAGTCGCTTTTAGACCACAAACTGGGCAAACCGGTGAGGAGCCGGTGGTGACCGCTGGGACAAACGGGATTCTCCTGCTGACACTCTGTTTGATCCCGCAAATTGTCTGTAAATCGTTTCCTTTTCATTCCTTTAAAATCACATTAACACAGTCCTTGCTTGGTATCTCACGGTGAGTTTCTCTCTCCATAGAGCGGTGTTAAAAGAACTTCATCTGGGAGGAGATAGACACAAAATCGTACTCGGTGCTGGGGCCGTGGTTAATACCTTCGATTACACGATAAAGTTCATTTTGCCTTTATACTCCCTATACATACATATACATATATATATATATATATGTATATATATATATATATATATGCAGAAGGGCTTTGGTCAGGATGCCCCTCGGCTACCTGAGTCTGACTTGGGAAACCCACATCACCATGCTCGAGTCTGTGGTTTGCTGTGTGTTACCTGTTCCAGGCAACAAGCTGAGCAAGCTGACCCTCGCCATGTGTTTATGTGGTGTTTCTGATTTTGGCCCTTTAAGAATTATTGTGGTAAAATCGCTACTAAATTGCTTTCGTCCTGCTGCAGGTGCTAGGATTGCAGCCCTTCTAGTGAGATCTGCCTCATCTCCTCGGCATCCTGCACAGGGACCCATATGCTCCCCAGGAATATAAATGACTTGTGGCATGGCACTTACTTTGGTTATAGCTTGTTTTACAGTTTGCCTCTAGGGCTCAGCTGGGGGCTCAATACTACTTGTTTGGATGCTAGGAGGCAAAAAAAACCCCATCATGTAGAAAAGCAAGGGTATCTTAGTGTCAGCAAGAAATGCTTTGGGCAAAATAAAAGCACAACAAAAGCCCTAAAATAAAATTTCTGCCTGCATGTGGTCCTGAATGCTGAAGGGGAGCCTTGCCATCTGAGCCAGAGGGGGAGTGTGGCAACCGCTCGCTGAGCTGTGGGATGCAAAGCTGGGGTTCTTATGATTGCTTCCCTAAACAAGTTAAAATAGCATCAGAGCTTCCACAGTCATTTCTCTTGGCTTGGGGAGTTTTACTTTCTTCAATTCTTTACTGGCTTCTACATAGCTTTCCTAGCACCTCATCTTCTTAAGCGTGCCAAAGTCTCCCATGATGCTGGATTAGCTGGCGGTAAAGTTTGGTGTGGTGGCATTAGAGATTTTAACAACCTCCTGACTGCAGAAGACACTAGCTCAGAATTACCCTGGCACTGTCTAGTCCTGTTTCCTAATTAAGGTGTCTAAGCATACGGGATTCCCTTGCTATGAGCCACATCAGATACCAGGGATGGTGCGAGCTGTTCCAAGGGAGAAATCCCTCACGCTGCACAGATCGCTATCGGCAGTGGCGCGGGGTGACGTGGGGCTGCCTGGCACGCCCAGCTGAGCATGCACTTTGTCTGATGCCAGGGCTCCTGATGCTGAATGGAAACTGCTGCAAAAAGCTGCTTGAGCAAAGTGCTGCTGCAGTATAAATGCACTTCTCTAGCTCTGGTTTCTATAAAAATAATTTACCAAGCTTTCTGCTGGGTCAGGTATTGTCTGGCCTTTCACTGCTGCCAGAAAGTTGTCATAAAAGCAAAAAAGCTGGCAAAAAATACACTGCAAGCCTTGACTAATTCTTCAGATGCATGATTGTGTGCCCAAATTCAAACTGCTGAGGGATGCAGCAAGGCATGAATCTGGTATAAATGACCATGGAGCCTCAGTCTGTATTGAGCAGCATGGGGGAAGGGAGGGGAATCTATTAATTTTATGCTAGACTGGGAAAAACCCTTCTGATTTCAACTGGCAAATCAATATAGCTCTGAAACATGAAGACTGCTATTGTTTTCCTCACAGCTTTCTCCTCTAGCTCTTCTGACTGCAAATGTCTCTTTTTGTGTACACACATTTTTAAAAAATGTTGCTAAACTACTTACCAGTCAAATCCTGTGGCAATGTTGATAATAAATTTTGTAGCATACATATAATTACCTTTTAAGTTCTGTATGCCTTTTTTTCTCTTTTAATTTAATTGAATGCCCTCCCCTTTGTTCTACTTCCAATTTAATAGCTGTTTTTCATCTGTTTTTTTGCATGCATATTCATCTTCTCTTTCTCAGATTTGCCTGAGTCTTGTGAAACTGCTGTTTTACTTGGCACATTCCCCCCTGGGTTCAATAGCCCTCTTGGATTTCCAGCCAAGGCAGTTTGTTATGGTGGATGGAAACCTAAAAGTGACAGACATGGATGATGCCAGCACCGAGGAGCTGTCTTGCAAGGAAGATAATGACTGCACGCTCGACTTCCCTACCAGAAGTTTCCCTCTCAAGTGCTCCATGGCTGGGAAATGTGAAGGAATAAATGAGAAGAAGAATCTGTTCAATGCATATCGGTATGTCCAGCTGCATGGGGGAAGATTTGGGGTGGCTGAGCTCACACCCTGCCATGTAGCCTCTAGCACCTTGTTCTTCTTCCATGTGGTGATTCCCCTCACCTCTGTCAGAGGGTAGTTAAGAACCACTTTGAAGCAAGTTATTTTCCTTATAAGGCAGGAAAATAGTGCAGTTGTTGTCTGGTGGGAATGAAGGCATCTTTCTTCTGCTGCTCCCTTTCCCCAGCGCCCTCTAAAAACTTGCCCCAGAGCTTGCACCTGTAAATTTGCTGTTTGCCAAACAAGCCCTGGTGCTTGACATCCACGGGCTGTGCTTGCTGAAAGCAGTGGCAGTGCAGGCTACCTGCCAAACCCCACCAACTGTGAGTCCCACTGTTGGGAACAGGCTGCCCAGTGCTTCCCTTCATCTCCAAATCTCCCTGTGGGCTCCCATGGGAGAGCAGGGGGCAGGTAAGGGCAAGGAGATGAGGCTGCTGCAGCACCTCCCATGGGCCATCAGCTGAAAACTCAGGGACTTTTGCTCACCACTGATGCTTGGCAGGTCACATCCTGGAGGGAAGCCTTGGCAGCTGGATATTTGCACAGAAGGACTTAGCAAGGGAGCCTGGATTTCCAGTGCTAAAGGGTAAATCCCTGCATAGATTATTGCAGCCTTGCTGTTGCCCCTGTCTCTTGTGCACTTGTTCCCTAGGACAGGAATTTTTTTGTGTAACAGTCATCCTGAATTTTCAGGGGCAATAAGAAGCCCAAACTTTTTCAGGGAAAGAGAAGGATCTTGTATGAGTCTTCTTTTATGCAGTTGTTTTTTTTTTTTTTTTTGGTGGGAAATAGATTTCTTAGTATACAAAAATGGCCCAGGGGAATGAGGGGAAGCTTTATTGCATGAAGCTTTGCAAGGTAGATTTCATGCAGCAAGGACCAGGCTTTCAGCCCAGCTCACAGGAACCATCTGAGGCACCAAGATGTGCTCAAACATAACTTTGTAACCAAAGCAGACTTGCTAGTTGCATATGGATAATCAAGTCACGGGAAAATGTAGACGACTTAATCACCAGGGAAATGAAGGCACTGTATTCTAATCAGCCTGTGGGATTTTTTTGCAGGTATTTTTTCACCTATCTTTTGCCACACTCTGCACCACCAGCTTTGCGGCCCCTTTTGAGTGATATTCTGAATGCAACAGGTACCAGCTAATATTCATAAACTTCTTTATTAGAAATCTCTAAATGGTATTTGTTTTGTGGAATTGTTTATCTTTGTCATCTTTTTCCTTAAATGCAGGTGATTTACGATATGGAATAAATGAAACCCTGAGAGCTTTTGAAAAGGTTTTACATCTGTACAAGTCTGGGCTCTATCTCCAGAAAAGACCTCTTCTTTTAAAAGGTAGTTGATTTTGAATGCTCTAAGTAAAGTAACTACTGAGGGAATGAGGCACTTGGTAACTGGTCAAATTCTGATCTCTCCTACGTTTAGGCAGTTTATAGTCACTAGAAAAAGCACCAAAAGTGTCTTTTTTTGAGCAGGCTTTTGTTGTTTTTTTCTGTGGGATCTATGCATGGTTGTACTGCTTTGCAGAGTAAAAGCAGTGCAGACAATCTGCATGGACATGTGTTTGCACTGTTTTTAAGTACTCTTCTCATAATGAACATCAGTGTTTCAAGGGAATGTGTTTGGGATACAAACTGAGTGGCTCCTGTCTTGGGATATCCTTATCCTTTGGGCCAACAGGTCAGTTTTCTGGGCTGATATTCAAACTCCCTATTTGACTGTGTGGCTTCTGTCTGCTGAGCACAGATTATGGAAACTTAGAGTGAGGAGGTGACAGCACCAAGATGAATGTGGCAGGGTACCTGGAGCCTCGGTGCCCTCTAAGTTCCTTTTCTCTGAAGATCTTTCTATTGGACCTGTGCATGGATAAATGTGCCTTTATGAGGTGCATTCCTCTGAAAAGGACCCATTCAGTGGTAGAGATGAGGCTGATCAAAAGGAAGTTTCAGCAATCCAGTGGTTACTGTGGTTTGTGTTTTCCTGGGCATTCACATGAGGTGGTGGGTGATGGTGTCTTGCAGAAGGAAATCTCTTTGCATGTGAAAGAACTATAATTTGCACTGTTACAACAAAGATATCTGGTCATTTGCATGGAAGGACCAGCAGCTTTAACAGGAATTACTGGTATTTTCCAACAACACCTGTCTATTGGCTTTGCACTGTGCCGAAATGATCACCATCCTAGAGGTGTGGGAAGGTGGGGAGAGACTCCTAGCAGTGAGTCCTCCTAGCCTGGACAACACCTGCTCAGGCTTGTCAGGTCTTTTGTCAGGTCTCTTTGTCAGGAGCAGGATCAGGCCTCCCTTTCCCCAGAGGGGTTCCTCAATCTCCTGTTTCTGTGGGTGCCACCGTGACGGGTGGGTCAGTCTGTGCCCCATGTAGCTTGGTGCTGGATCTGTGACGAGCTTCTGCTGTTGAGGCTGGGATGTAGGAGAGGCTGTTTGGAGGTTGGCTTCTCCAGGGAAAACATGGAGGGGCTGTGGCTTTGCACAGCAGCCTCCTCCGCTCACCCACCCCCTGCAGTGGCAGCCCTGTCCCTTTGCCCCTGAGACCTCTGACCCCTCTCCTACATCTCTGGGGGAGTTGCTGTCCTGTGCTCCACTGCAGAACCAAAGAGCAAAATTTGAGTTTCTTTTAGCTTTGCAGCTCCACCTCACTCCACCTTGGCAGGTCAGTTCAGTCTGCCAGTGTTGCAATTTTTTGAGAGTTTCCCTGATTGTGTAGTGCAGCCAGTCTCTGGAAGTGCACCTGGAGTGTTTCCCCAGACTGCCTCTTTCTGTCCCCAGACTACATCTCCCTGAAGGGTTTCCGGACGGTGGAAGGGGAAGGCCACAAGTGCTGGCCCTCCTACAGCCACCTGGGCTGCCTGCTGTCCGTCCACAGCGCTGAGGAGGCCGCTGCCATCTGTAACTCCCAGCTGCACTGTCACAGCTTCATTGTCACCCAGCACAGGACCTGGACAGGTGAGCTTGGCCAGGGTGGCAGGGTGCTGCTGTTCACTGCAGCCCCAAGATATGTGAAAAGTCTCTGTTTCAGCCTGTGTGTTCAAAGAATGAGTTGGATCTCTTCAGTTTTTGGTCTCAGAGTTGTTTATTGTATCTTATCTATAAAAGTTTTTCTCCTGCCCAGCTAAGGTCTGCTCAACAGGACAGCCAGCAGCACTCTGACTGCCCCCAAGGCAGTGCTGTCTCTATACTACAAACTACGTATGAAATGTTTACAATCACTTTCCAATACCTATCACCTGTGTTAGACAGTGAGATTCTATTCTAAACCAATCCCAAAGTGCCAGCATAACAGCAGAAGATGGAGGTAGAGAAGAAGAAGGAGAAGAAGAAGGAAAAGAAGGAGAAGGAGAAGAAGAAGAAGGAGAAGAAGAAGGAAAAGAAGGAGAAGGAGAAGAAGGAGAAGGAGAAGAAGAAGAAGAAGAAGAAGAAGAAGAAGAAGAAGAAGAAAGACTAGACACGCCCAAGTCCTTCCATCTTGTTCCCAAGACCCCCCACTCTAAAAATCCCAAAATCTACCTTTTCACCCAGTGATACCTTTGTTATTAAACTTCTGTGGCTCTCAGGTCCTCATGCAAAGCTGGCAATTTGCTCCACGGGTCATAATCAAACCCACAGGTGTTCTGGGCTCTGTGCCAGGGTCTCTGAGCCCCTGGCAGGGGTCCTGGCAGCTCTGGACACCCGGAGGGATGTCCTGAGTCCCAACAGGCAGGGTGACAGGGTGCTGCCACGTGGTGCTGCTGCCTTCCTCCATGGTGTCTTGAGCCTACAGGCACGTCTGAAAGCTGCCTTCCTTATGCTCAAGCTCAGATGGCTGCCACTGTGGGCATCCAGAAATCCCCTGAGTGTTTGTAAGGAGACACAAGAGCAATTATGTTCTCCCTCTGCACCTTTTTTCCTCTACAAATCTTGCTCAGGACTGCCAGGTATTGTTAAACACTTACTCATTTCTTGCAGAAGTGATCACTTTGGTGTTAGGCTAAACAATCCCTGTGGTATGTATAGTTTGCAGAGCTGTGGGGATTTTAGAGATGAAAGGAGCTGTGTAAAAGAAGGTGGTTACTATTGTTATAATTAAAAGAATCATAGCTTACAAGTTGTTATCCCCTCTATCAAAACTAAAGGCCCAAGCCAAGGGATTTCCAGAATGTCCCTGTAATTAGCTCTGATTATAGCCTCTTACAGTTAGCATGTTTTCAGAATTATTTTAAATTATCCCATTTAGCTGACACTTCAAGCATGGGCTAAATTGTTTCTTGAAGTAAAACACTAAATGAGGTAAATGAGTGTTTTCACTCACAAAGATGCTGAAGGATCATATTTTGTCAGTTCACATGACATTTTAAAAAACCCCCTAAATTACCAAAAATGCAGCTTTTCTGAGGGCTTGTGTGCAATTGGCATGTGGCAAACTAGTTATGTAAGAGCAGTTACATGGATGCAACATAAATCTCTTAAAGCCACCAAGTTCCACATCAGCAATGGATTGTGTGAGTTGTGCCTAACACAGCACATGTGGCTTCCTCGCAGGGCAGCTGTTAGTGCTCTGTGCAGTGCCTGCCTGGAAGGAACCCTGCTTGAAACCACAGTGAGGATGCAGGAGAAGCACTGGGACAGGGACCCTTTCTGCAGTGCCTTGTTGGGGTGCTGATCCCTGACATCCTGCACCATGCCTGAGGTCCTTCGTGCTTCCCTTCCTGGCATTTTTCTTCATTGCTGTTTCATGGCTCATCTTTGCAGCCAAGGATGCCAGAACTGTGTGGCTGAAATGCCAAGTGCCTGTTTGCCAGCTGGGTTAATGAGAGCTGTGGGAATGTGCTGGTCTCTCCTAGGGCTGCTTGGTAAAGCAAAGCAAGATGCAAAAGCCTCTGGGGCTGGGTGATGCATTCCTTGTGCACACTCTGAGCATCTGGAATTTACTGGGAGCGTAACACACATCCATGGCAGGGCAGAGTGACCCTCCATTGAGCAAGCAGTGTGTTCCTGTGCCTTTTGCAATAAATAGCATTGGTCAAGGTGAACCTCTCCCCTCTATTAAACTTGCATTTTTATTTCCTTTCCAGGACGCCCGCTCGCCTCCTTTCAGAGTAGCTGGACTGATTTAGTACCAGATACCAACGCCGTGGTCTATATTAAACGTTCAGCTTCCTCAGGGGAAAGACTTTAAAGACAATGAGATCACATAAAATGATCCTGGGAGGAACAAACTGCTGGGGAGAATTTCATCTGCTGGAAAGAATGACATGTTTTATTTTGCTTTGGGATGGGATCTCCCTGCCAGCTCAGATAGAGTCAAATGCTGCTGTCTCCTTGATCAAAGCTCAAATTTCTCATTGCTGCTCCACTAGCTTCTTTTCTGTTCCCACACTGCTGTTCCACATAAATGGTCTCAGTTTTAGTCAGATGTTGCTAGACTGTGTAATACTTAGCTTTGCTGCTTTGGCCAGCTTGTCAGCCAAGAAATAGAAATAGCTACAAGGGATCCAGCTTGGGTAGGCTTAGTTATTTCAGTCACCTCCAAAAATCTACAGATGATGCACTTTGGAGAAGGCAAGGGCTCTTTCTACAGCTGCAAACTGGGTTTTCTTACTGCTGCAAATGTAGATTTCAGTGATGAGGCCAAGATTGCAGGGTTGGGATCCATAACCAGAGGTTGATGATGGGGGTGATTCTCCAAGGAGGTCCTGATTCAGTTCCTTCCGTGCAGGGGAGGGAAGTGGTGTACAGGTCAACACTGGACCCAAATATCTGTGTGTTTGGATGCAGGATTTGGGGTTGATCCTATGTGATTTTTAATACCAGCTCCCATGTATCAACCTTGAAGGTTTTTCTCTGTTACTTTCCATGAAAGAGCGAGACATTCAAATTATTTATATGTAAGGTGTGACTTTGTATGATAAAGAATGACTCTTTATTCTAAGCATGCTGTGAGAAGTTATTTTTTTAATTGCCTAAGTCTTTACTGTAACCAAATGAAGAAATGCCAGTGTTTCCTACCTTCAGCTCACCTAGCATTGTTACCCACTCCTGAGGCCAGCCTGTGAGTGCTCCAAGCTGTGTATGAATGTTCCTGAGCCCCCTTGGACACTCAGGTCCTGAAGGACACTGTGGCTGTACTTGCAGGCTTCTGAGCAGAGAGGAGACTGTGTGGTCCCAAGAGCCTCCTGGAACTGCCCTTTGCTAAAACTGTAGATGTGGCCTCTGAAAAATAGCTGGGGTTGGTATCATTTCAGTCTGAAAGAGATGACAGTGTAATGTGGGAATCAGTCACTGTGTCTACCCTGATTCACCCTGGAAGCAGTGACTGTCCAGGACCTCTTCTGGAGGAAAAGCCTAAATCACCACTGACCTCGTGTCTGCTCGGGAAGGTCCCTGGCTTTGTGCACTACAAACACTGCTGATGCCACATTGTTTTCTGCTTGTCCCACACCAGAAATTACGGTTTTTGGGATATGGCAGGAGTCGTGCAGCCATTTCCATGTGGGACCTTGTGGCAGCTGGGCACCCCTGCACTGAAAATGCTGCAGCTCTTGCCTGGAGTCCTGCTGTGTTTTTGATGGTCTCTCCCCACGTTTCCTAGTGCAGGAGCCCATCTTTCAGCTCGTTAGGACTCGATTAACCACAGCAATGCCTTTGCATGTGTCTTTCTCATGCACTGAACCCCTGCTGCTTACTCTGGGCCTGGGGGACTCATAGTGATATCAATTAATGAGGATTCCAAGTTAGCACAGCAAGAAGGCTCTTGTGATGATGACATTGCTCAGGCTTTGTGGCAGCAGGGCTTTTTCAATGGGCAGGGACAAACCCCTCTCTCCATTCCAGCTCCTGTGGAAGTTGAAGGGAAGGTCCTGCCAGGGGGCTGCTATTGTTTTACACTGACCCAGTGAGCAGAGCTTCAGACACCTGCTGTGCTCTACATTAGCAAGAGGTAAAGAGAGTTTATTCCATGTCTCCCAGCCTCCTGAGAAACACAGCAAAAGTACTTCCCCCAAAGCAGGGCCGTGCAAGGGCCAACCTGGGGTCGTTTCAGAGAGGAAGAAACAAAATGCAAAAGTTGAAGTGGTTCCAGTTCATGTTAGAAAGACCTTCCCATCTTAAAAATTTCTCCTGGTAAAAAGAACATTGTGTATTTCAGTCTTGTGATGCTTCTTTGGCAGGTTTTTCTGTCAAGTACTCATTGTAAGGTTGCTGCCAGTCATGTGCAGCCCTCAGTAGATAGTGAAGTTGCAGGGAATGCCAGTGTCACTTTTATAAATGCAGCTTCCAGCATCAGACCTGCAGTTAGACCCTGGCACCAGAGACCACTGATCATGTCCTGAAAGTTTTGAACACACAGTAATAAACAAACAATAAGAAGAAGAAGAACATAGTGAAAAAGGGAAGATAGGCTTTAAAGAATTACAGTGCTCAATCTGCTGTTGCCACAGCAAGTGCCTCTTGTAGGACATTTAGACCACGCTGTGCAAAGGAGTAAGCACATTCTTACAGCATGAACCCTCATTCATCTGGCTGGCACAGAGAAGTGGCCAGGGCACAAGCACACCTTTATGACCAATGCTGTTCATGTGCTAGACACTAAGAAATTGCCACATCTAGAGCTGTAGTTTGACATGCATTTGAGGAGACACAGTCATTGGGAAAAGCAATTCCCACCCTGCTTTTTCCCAGCTTCTTGCTGTTTTTGTCTGCTGAGAAACTTTTACCAATAGTTGTGCCAGTTTAAAAGCATGCAGGATTATCTCTTTGCCCTTCTGCAGCCAGCAGCTTGTGACCCCCAAGTTTCAGGCAGCTCACACCTGGCTCAGGTGCTGGGTCTGTGTGAAGCACCAAGCTGTTACCAGCCCTAAGGGGAGCCTACAGGAGGAAGCATCCTCTACACAGCTTTTGGGTCCATGTGGCTGCTTTGTAGTGCACTGTCTTTGTGCCCCATTTCACTCAGTCAGCCTTTACTCATTCTATCCTTTTACTAAGTTATAACTCAAACAACTTTAGACTTTCAATGCCACTGAAATTTTCAGTGCATGCCTAAAAACTGTATTTCAGTAACTACAGTATATAAAACCTCAGATATAAACATTTACTGCCCTTAAAACTCCCACTTGCTGGAGTCAATTTTTCTCTGCTGATCAGTATTTCAGCCACCATTGTGGAATTATGCAACAGAGCAAAGTGCTTGGAAGGAAACAGCAGGGGATCAATTGTAATGGAAACCATGTGTGTTGGAGGAATGATATTTACCTAAATGTGTCTATCACATCTTCCCAAAGGATGCTGCCTTTAGGAGAGAATGGGTATGAAAATGTTGCCTCCATAGGTATTTTTTTTAGACAAAAACTTTAATGCTCTTAAGTAATTCTGTATTGTAATAACAGATGCTGCATTACTCATGTTCAGCATGTTTGCACAGACATTTACATGACCAGTGACTGCATGACAGATTGAAAAGCAGAGTGAGGCAGACAGAGCCCAGTAATGAAAAATCAACTCTTGGTGCATCAGACAGCGTTCAAGTACCAATGAGTGTCATAACTCTATTTTGACATGGCATATTCTACAAACTTTGATGATCTAAACAACACTAAGATAAAATTTCAAATTAATTTAGGGAAAGAAAAGAGGAATCTATCACAGTCAGCTGGAGGCCCAAATGACACATCTGGATTAACGCTGATTTCTGTGAGGACATCCATAAATTGTTGTACCAACCACTGAACTTTGTGGCTGGAAGTCAGAGCACTTGGTTCTTCTGGGTCAAAAGAGCTGGGCTTGGGCTCCAGTTTGAGGAATCAGTGAAGTGTAACTCCAGTATCCAGAATGGCCCCCCATGATGGATTGGTAGGACTTCAGAGTGGACAATTCCTGCTAACTGTAGTACTTGGAGCAATCTTTGCCCTTGGTCCCATTGTCCCAGAGTACCAACATGTCAGCACCAGCAATGTGGAGGTGGGAAAATTCACAGAAGAGAATTTTATGAGAGGTAACCATGAGCCCCTCTGCCTCCTCTGCAGCATCTGCTTAGTTCAGGATGGTGGATTTCCCCTGAATTATAGTTCTTGGCTAATGGGAAAATGTATCAGGTTCCATCAAACAGGTCTGGGTGGACCGAGGATGGGTGATAGCTGAAGGGAACAGCTGTCAGACTCCTCTGCTTGGAATTCAGCTCCTGGCTCTGTGTGAGAGCTCCAGCCAAGGGCTTGTGCCTCCAGAGCCTCAGCCTGCCCAGCTGGCCAACTCAGATGGCAAAAGTTCTGGGGTTACTGGTGGAGAAGTCTTCTTGGCATAGCTGTGGAGGAGATGGAGATGCTGGTAGTGTTTTAAGAAATTCATATGCCTGGACTTTCTGGGCACAGAATGACATCCCTTCAGTGCCCCCACTGCCACAACAGCCTTATCCTCCCTGCTCCCAGGGACCACAGGCACTACTCTCCCCCAAGCCCACATCTGTACCTAAAGCCTGCACACTCAAGTCTCTCTGTGCTGTCATCACTTACACCCCTGCTCCCCTGTGCCCTCCCAGCACACCTTCTTGTTAACCCCTTGTACACCCTCAACATCCCCACATGGCCCCACTGCCTCTTACTCTTACAGCCAACACATGGAATCACAGAATCATTGAGGTTGGGAAAGACCTCTAAGGTCATCTTGAGTCCAGCTATTAACCCAGCACTGCCAGGTCCACCACTAAACCATGTTCCTAAATGTCACATGTGTTTTAACACTTTCAGGGACAGTGATTCCACCACTTCCCTAAGGAAGTAGTACCACATAGGGCTTATTTCTATTTTGAGAGCCCTTATTTCCCTTTTATTCTATTTGGGAGCCCTTAATTCTATTCTGTCAGAGGTGAAATAGCCCTGTGTGCAGCAGGAGGCCACATCTGAAAGGTGCAACCACAAGGTCAGCCTGCCTTTGATTTGTAACCTCTCTTTTCATTTACCATCAATGGTTTCTAGATTAGCAAGTGCTAAATACAATGTAGTAATGGCTTCCTGAAAAACAACCAACTTTAAAGCTGTCCATTAAAATCACATTGCCTTAACTACATTGTATGTCACATGGTGCATCACACCTTCCAAATCCAAGTCTAGACAAGGCTTAGGGAAATGCAAATTCTGACATTATGTTACATTTGTCAGTATTTATCCTCCAACCTCATCAAAATCAATAGGAGTCTCAAGTGGACTTTTTGGCTAAAATCTGTTGCCATACTTAGAGTACTGGAAATGTAAGATATAGCCTCAAATCTAAGTTAAAGACCAGCAACCCCCAAAATTACAAAACAAACACTCAAATTTTCCGATTCTTGTATCTGTGAGTTATATCTCCCACATAATGTCTTTAGCAAGTGAATTGTTTTTCTTTGCTGGGAAAAACCCTGCTGCAAATTCCCTCACTACTTCAGATGACAGATCAGAGAGCTCAGGTTTAGATTAAAAACTTGATAATGAAACCTAAGGACACAAGTTTATCATCACAACAGATAGATGGAGAGGTGCTTTATGAATGTCTTGGAAACACTGGAACACAAAGGGAATTCTCTTGGACCTCCAGTGGAAAATGTCAAGAAATATTTTGGCACTGCTGCTGTGCCCAGTCCAGTGCTGTTCCTCATTCACTTGGGGAGGGAGTCATTTACTCCCACTCCTAATTAATCTTGCCCTTGTTTGTTTGTTCTGATTCTTTAAATACACAAGAAACAAACCATTGTCCCTCCCAGTGGAGTTAAGGCCGTGGCTTGCATTTTTCTGGGCTTGACTCTTTCAGTTTGTCTAGCAAAACTATTGTTACATAACTATATCAATCAACATTACCTCTGCAACGAAGCAGTGGCACCCACCTAAATTCACCTGAACCCCGGAGTTGTGTCAAACCTCAAAGTTTTACTGGCACTGCTAAAGAGCAGGTTTAAGATGTACTCTG